ACAATGCCTCAGCCATATTGGCACGCTACTGGCTGAAAATAAGTTGCTTAAAAAGACCCACTGAATCGCCACGATTTTAAGTGCATGTCATCTCTAATGCTTCTGTCAACCAACAACGCTGTCGCGTTTGCGTTTGCGTTTTGAGTGGTGGGCTCGCATTGTATAACGCACGATTATATTCTTTAGCAAGTTTCACGGCGCATCTCTTGCGTTTCCTAGATGCTGTCGTGGAAAACTCATATGATAATTGTCGGGAAAGCCCAATCCCTTTATTCATGTTAGAGCGAGGCAAAGCACTAATGGCCGGTAGCATTCAGAAAATATATTGCTTATTTCTCTTTATGTTTCCACTGAACATTATACAAGCTCGTATGTAGGCGTATGGTGAACGCACGCACAACAGTCAGTTTCGTTGAACCATTACCAGACCAAAGCCGTCTGGAATACATTAGACGAGTTGACATAAGTCTCGGCATTAGTCATTAGGCCTACGCAATTATGATCCTTTCGTGACATTTTGGTAGACAACCCGGATAGTGCTGAATCATAGGCGGCGGAACGGGAGGGGGGCACCGGGGCACCGTGCCCTCCTTGATTTTGGCATTTTAACATTAGCCCTATGGACGTTGCATGGAAAGAATGGGACCAAAAATCGGCAGTGCCCCCCCCCCCCTAATTGAAGGTGTTCCGCCGCCACTGTGCTGGTGCACAGGAAATAAAAATCAGCTAGAAATCTATTTATTTATCTAACCATACAGCAACCACAAACAATGTGGTCTTTTCAGTTGAGGTGAATATGAGGTGAAGCGTATACAGGGTGTCCCAAAAAATGTACCTCATTTGAAAGGAAGATATCTCAGTGTCTGAGCATACAACCAGTATAACGCCTTTTGTGGCGACTAACGGAGCGAGCGAGAGGGTGGGCCTTGCACGTGCGAAATTGCGAGGGGGTTCCTCCAACTGACTTGTGCACGGCACCTTACTAACCGGTCTCTAGCGATGTGCCAAATTTGAGCACAATCGGCCCAGCCGTTCTCGAGATCTGGAAGCGGCACCCTGCACGTGCGCACGTGCAGAATGGGTCCCAACTGACTTGTGCACGGCACCCTACTAACTGCTCCGTAACCGTGTACCAAATTTGAGCGCAATCGGTCCAGCCGTTCTCGAGATCTGGAAACGACCCCTGCACGTGCGCACGTGCAGCAGCACCCCAACTCTGGCACATGGATATGCATTGCCTAGTGGGTGCCTACCTACATGCCAACTCTCAGCGCAATCGGCCCAGTAGTTACCGAGATATTGCAACAATTACAAAAGTGACACCTCTTGGTTTTGCACGTGGCACGTGCATAAGGGGTCACCCACATGCATCGGGAATAGTGCAATACTTGGTAGAAGAAATGAAGCTACCCTACAAAAATTACCGCATGTAAATCGGTCAAGTGGTTGCTGAGATATAAGCCTCGCAAAAGCGTGACCACGGCCGGCCGGCCGGCCGGCCGGCCGCTCATACTCAGAAATTTCCGTTAATCTCAGGAAAGACTACGCTCGCTTCGCTCGCTCCGTAATGATCCTAAATTTGGTGCCATATGAAAGCTCATTCCATAGCATTTTGTTTGATATAATCTATTTTACTGTACGTTACGTGACAGCCGAGTGATAACGGAAGAGCAAAACCCTTGCAATTTCGCTCTTCAACTATTTCCACGGGTGTTCCTGGGAAAAAGCTTTCAATTGTTTTGCCGAAATTTTCAGCAACTCAGAAGAAAACAATTAGAAATATTGAAACTAGGTTTCATTCATGCATTGCTAACATAACAAGCACACATCGCATCACATCCGTTAAAGGTTCAGCCGTGCTAACGCTCGAAGTGCCCTCCCTTTCGCTCGGCACACATGGCGGAGTGTCTTTAGGACTCTTAGGCTATGCGGGCACATGTTTCAAGCGTGATTTTCCGTATGCATGTCCAGGTCGAGTTCCTCAGCTGGTCCAGAGTTTTAGGATTCTTTGCGTATACCACACTCTTGAGGAACCCCCACAGATAAAAGTCAAGGGGCGATGGGTCTGGGGAGTGTGGCGGCCAGCTAACGTTGGCACGCTGGGGTATGATCCGATCACCCATGCGCTCGTTGAGCCAGACCATCGTTGATCTCGGAAGTGTGTCTTCTGATCCATAAATGAAAACCTGATTTGTGCTGATCTTTTTAAAATAATCATTCAAGTGTTGAAAATAAGATTATTTACACAGTGAGACCATGGTTGTGCAATTTCTGATACTGATAGCGCCTGTTGTGACCAGGACGAGCGCGCCCATGCAGTTATCACAGCCGTAAAAAAGTTGTTTTTTTCGCCTATCGTCCATGACGTGACACACTGCCAATATTACCGGGAATCGCCCATTAGCATCGTCGGGCACGTGGCATTACGCAGACCGATCCCGAGGCCTGGAGAGTGCCGATATAAAAGTGGTAATGCCAGTTCGCTATATGCACCACTGAGTGCAAGGCCATGTAGGTCGATTTAATGAGAAATAATGATCATCGATGGCGTCCATCACCGCAGATTCAGCGATAGCATACCTACAGTTGCTCGACGCTCGTGGAACATTTACCCACACATGTGTGCGGCGTTTGCCAGCTTCTAACGTGTAGGGGGGGGGGGGGGGGGGTCGGTTGGGCCCCTTGTCGTTTGGCCCCTGATCGAGCCAGAGCTTCGGGGAAAAACGAGCGTGTTACCCGTGACGAGAAGAAGCCGATGGTACCCAATATTAAGGTCCTAGGTCATTGAATGACCTTCCAGGTCAGGTCAATGACCCAAAAGTCGGGAAAATCGGGACCTGTTAGTAAGTCGCAAAGTGTGGCTACTACGGTTTTTTTTTTTTTTGGATGCTGATCGCGAATATCGTGTTAGTTTGGATCACAGATGATGTCTTTAAGCATTTAGACCAGGTCGGGTCAGGTCAGGTCAAGTCAACCAGTACGGGTATTCGTAGTACGTGCCAACCGCCTCTGACAGCTTCGTAACATGTTACCGGAAGGCAGCAAAACTTCTTGGTAAATGTTCAAATGGTTGCTTAATTCGAATTCAGCTCCAAAAACTAGCCTAGAAACATGTATAACTCGAAAAGTGAACCGAGGTCACCAAAGGTCAATGACCTGACCTGACCTTCAGGTGACCTCGACTTTCACCATCACATGTTAGAACGTTTGAAACCACGAAAAGCTTGCAAACGCGCTGCTAATGCGAGCCGATATATGCCGAATCGCGATTCCGGGCAAACATGGCCTTGAGAAATAGGTCACAGGCAAAAGTCACTTGGGTCAGGGTCATGCAATTTTCAGGGTAGGTGTAAAATTGATCAACTCGAGGGTACTGAAAGTTTCGTCGCGATCAGCCGCTTTTTGCACGAGTTATTCGCGAAAAACCATGGGGGGTCCATCCGATCCCCCTACACATGCGAGGGTTAACCTTCGCCCTGGTGGGGGGGGGCCATTTTGGCCCCCCCCCCCTGTGGTTTTTCAGCGATAACTCAGAAACCACTTGAGTTAGCGCCCTGAAACTTTGTATAGCTGTTTATTCAACATTTTTACATCATGTCCTTTTTTGGGGGGTTCGGGTCAGGTCAGGTCAGGTCACAAGGTCACCAAAACTGACACCACCTCTAAAAAAGTTCAAAGCTCTCTCAAAGGCACAGCTTTTATCCGATCGATGTAAAATTTACAGTACTTGAAGATGTCACCCAGCTCTACAAAATGGCTATCTCGGATTTTTTATAAATGTGACCTAAGGTCAGGTCAGGTCATCGCTGCTCCCCATTATAAGTCAATGGGAGAATCGAAAAGTAGTTGTTTTTCAGCTAAATCGGGCGTGATTGTTCCTATATTTCGTTATTGAAGTGTCTTGGGTCAGCAAATCACAGCCCATGTGAAACCATTTGCTTGTGACCTCGCTGAGGTCACGCTAGGTCATCTCCCTGGTCACCAGAGGTCACCAGCGGTTTTTCTGCACTTACTTGTTATTGAATAGAGATAGAGACTCCGTTCGACGTTTATCGTGTTTGTCTCGTCAATGCGGATCGAATGATATGCAGCATGACCTATTTCGGTAAGGTCATGACCTTGACCTGAGGTCAAATTTTCAAAATGACCTTTCGAGGTCAAACTATATATCATTCGACGCGTCTCGACGAGCCAAGCACGATGGTGCATGAATCGTTTCTCTATTTTCTCGTGAATGCATGCTATAGTTAAAAACATTTTCAACGAAATTTGCCAAGTTGACCTTGCATGACCTCTGTAGGCCAAACCGTTGAGCTGAGGTCAAATCTGACGAACCTTGGCGAAAGAGCTTGAAAAGAGCTATCGATTGCTTTTTTTCCGCGGCTCTCTAGCTCTTCTAGTTTCCGAGCTACAGCGGAATATGTCCGGCAACACCGAAAACACTGAAATTTGACCTATGATGACCTCTAGCGACCTCAATATTGACCTTAGCGAAAAAATGACCGAAATACTTTCGAACGTACTTGTTATGGGCTTTCGTTTGCTTTTTTCCGCGTCTTCCTAGCCCTCTTCGTTTTCGAGTTAGACGGGGGGGGTCATTTTGGCCCCCCCCCACCAGGGCGAAGGTGGCTCAGACCCACACCAGGGCGCGGGTTAAATAAGTGAACAGTGAAGAAAATTGAATACCCAATACCCATGCTTCTTGCTGAAGAAAACTATCTGACTAATTAACATCATAATTGATACCTCAGTTTGTTCCCTTTGGTAGCATCTGTTTAAAATTAAAAACACGTGCATGGTGACATATTTCCATCGACAGCTGATACTTTTATCAAAACCACATGCGTGTACACGTAAATGTATTAGCGTTCCGTTAACATTTAGTTTATACTAGGTCTGTCTAGTTTCATGCAAAAAAACGAAACACCGGTGATGTCACAATGTGAGTAACTGTTTGTTTCAGCAATATTAGTCTGATAATTTTTCTCTCTCTTCCGCAGCAGACGCACGTGCCGCCTTCGAAGGTCTTCACTCCCGCTCACGATGAGCCAGTGATACCTCACAAGAAAAGTAAGTATAGATCAAAAACTAAAAGCATTGCTCGAAATTAGAATGTCATGATTTTGGCAAAGAAACAATGGAAAGACCAGAGAATAGCCGAAACCGTACCTCTTGACAAACACAAGGGCATTAGTCCTCATCCAAGAATGCAGCCATCACATTATTGAGTGATAGTAATATAAATGATAGAAGTTGTACCGACCTGAAACTTTAAATATTACTCGGCCATGTATCTGCGTATTCTGGCAGAAACAAAATGTTTAAAACCAGCCCGGTAACATACATTTAATAGCAAAAGAAGTGTGTACACCCTCCGATCAATATTCACATCTATGTCGATGGATTATTATGTTTTTGTTTTTACATTCTAGTAAGATGCGATTATGTGAGGTCAGGTGAAGTTAAGTATACTCCACCACGTGTTACGTTGGCTCTAAAAGTAATTCTGAAACACATCAAAATGAAATTCGAAAGCAGCCTCAAACATTTTCTGCAAAGTGGAACAATCGAGGTCATCAAAGGTCAATGACCTTCAAGTGACCCTGACGCCAGCCATGAGGCACAGAAGAGATATCGTTTCACGTGTCGGCACCTCAAGTTAAACCCATGACCATTTGACCAGGCATTTCATTTAGCATGGCATGTCAGACACGCACATAAATCTATCACGTGCTATTACGCGCCACACATCAAATACCCATTAGCCAGTGAATAGGGCTCAATTGGGTCTTTTATTCGACTGCGACGCATATTGGTCGATTCATCTTGTGCAAATATGGTTTACGAGGCATAATGATAAGCGATTATGGCGCTGTTCGGCGACCGAAGAATTGGCCGATCATGACCAGCAATTCATGTAACGCCGTTTTGTCAAACTGAGAACATGTCCCCTTAATGACATGACAAGGCAGAAACACGGATTTCTAGCTAAACTGAGATTCAATCGTACCCATTGAAAATACTGCGTTGATGTCAGGGTTGGCAGGGGGTGGCAAAAACTGGTTTTTGCCAGTGGTTTTAACCGGTTTAAACCGGCTGGCTGAAACCCTTGTGGCAAGAACTGGCAAAAACTGGCTAAAACTCAGATGGCCAAACCTACAACTTGTCTAGTTAGGAATGGATTTGAAATGTACAAATGCATTTCTGGTTGTTATATAGATGCACTAAACATCCGAAGTTGCCTAATTACTTATCCCTGCTTAAAATGTCTATGTATGTCGGTAGACATCCACAACGGAATGTATTTCCATGTAAGGGGAGAGAGGGACAAGGCGGCCACGGTAAGTAGTGTGTCATGCGGTGCCGTGCGCATATCAGTGGCAGATACCTCTTTGCACTTCTGATTGTGCAGGACTCACCCAGTCACCCTTGCACTGGCTCATTTGTCACCCCCAAAAGGCATCTTACTAGCTCCTTATGGATAGCCCATGAAAATGTTTCTGAGTGAGGTATGAAACATTTCAATGGTCAATGTCACTTCTGTTTGAAAGCATACAGCTTTCACCGAATTCTCCTTAAAATGTTTCCTGTTCAAAATCATGTCTAGGCATAGCATTGTGATATTTCTGAGTTTTTGCCAGTTTTTGCCAGTTTTTGCCGGTTAAAACCGGTTTAAACCGGCAAATGGCATAAACTAGTTTTTGCCGGCAAAAATGCCAACCCTGTGATGTTTCTTGGTTTCTGCAAATCTCGTTGAAGCACTAACATCAGCGGAATCACTAACTTTTCAGCATGACTGCTCGGTATAGATGAATTATCTAGCATTGCATCCTTTTTTGCTAACTCGCATGACTTCTGATGCATTATGTCTTCACGAATCAAACTTTAACTTGGACATGTGAAGTGAAAAAGTGGTGGAACAAATGAAAATAAATACAAGTTTGGAATACACGAGCCACATAAGTAAATTCTAAGCATCGAAAGCTATGCACAATGCACATGCATAATTTCGGCAAGGATGCCACAACGGTTCCTTTTACTACCCACCGGTTCTGAATAATCCAATGCTTACATTTTAATCTGCAAAGCTATTTTCGTGAGTGTAATACCGCAACAGCAACATTGTGCATCCTTTATTTACCACCAACAGAAGCACCATTCATCACTTAAGAAATATCATTTGTCATTTTACTTGGACATTTCCGCGAAAGCTAATGAAGACGATGAAAAATGGCATGCAGGTTGGGGAAAATTTGGCAATTTCACAGGTAAATTGCTTATGATAGCAGGGGCAATCGCGTGTTAAAATTTGCTACCATAACACATGCGTTCGAAAATGATTTCCCACATTTATGATTTATTCATCATCTTAACGCTGCATGATTTGGAATCGATGGTTCTGTTTCGACTTTATTCATATTCGACTTTATTCAATATTCATATAAGACAATAGTTATTTGGTTGACAAAATCTGCTACTTTAATTCGTGCTTTGCAAACAAATTTGAGTTTTTTAATGACATTAATAAGAAAGCAATGTGCTATCAGGCTTTGCTTTCAGACGTAGGCTTTGTTTCAGTCTTAATTGCTTTCCCGAGCTTATTTCACTAGTACTAATATTTGCCATCTAATTTCATGCTTAAAGGTCACGTTATTAAAATGAATATTCATATAAGACATCGTAATTCATCAAGGACATATGGCATCCATAATTCAAGTAGGTTCAAAGAAACTGAAACGTAAGATCATGCTGCATTCTCAGTTTTTCTAAAGGGTAAACCGCCTAAAATTTGGCATTTACTTCTATCAATACAGGTAAAAATATTGACTTATATATTGTGATGATTACCATTGTACAGCATTACATCATTGTGAATTGGAGGACGATGCAATAAGGTAACTTTGGAAGACGATATCAAATTTGAACGACAAAACACGGTTCTCAGAAGGTCGCTAGGCATCACGAAGGGCTTCTGGTATGGTGAAGGGCTGTTCAAAATTTAAAGTCCCGAGCAAGTCAGCGAGCTTTTGAGCCGGACGAGGTGATTCAGCACAATTCCGGCAGCGGCCGAAAATGCGGCAGACGCATCCCACCCCGCACATGCAGGGCAGTTGACTAAGCACCAAAAAAAGCACAACATACTCGTATGGTTGCATCAGCGCAACGTGTCTGAAAGAAAAACACAAACACACACAGTGTCAATTCAAACACACTTCAAAGACACCTTATTTAACTCGTAGCTGTGAAAGTAGACCTGGCGGTTGCTTTGCCACACTGATCATATCCCACGTTTCCCTTCACCCACTGACCCCCCCCCCCTCGCCTCCCCAGAGACCATGTTCGTGGACTCGGCGTTCTTCTCGCCAAAGGTGCACCCCACCTGGGAGCAGCAAGTGGAAATGGCCAAGAAGATCAGTTCCTCCCTCAGCGATGCCAGTAACAAGCAATCCAAGGGACAATCGATGTACGAACGGCGCAAGAAACGCAGCGTCAAATGGGTTCACGGTGAGTGAGAACAATTAGCAGGAAGCGGGCTGAACTGTCTCATATTTCTTCCCATCTCTTTCTGTGTCTATCTGTTATGTAGCTCACTATAGACAACTTCGTGCCTATGGTATACAAGTTAACGCAATATGGATATGTCTGATTAGTGATTACAGCTATGATAAGGATGCCTTCTGTCAATTACTTCATGGTAAGATGTGTCTGTATTTATACTTGTAAGAAAATAAAAATCAATCTAGCCGCGCGTAAAAGCATGGCAAAGCCTCACCACTACCCATACCAACGAGCAAGGAGGATGGATTCCTTGCCTCCAGAACTGCAGTTCTTTATTGCGTTCTATAATGCTGTGAAATAGGGAAAGCATTAAAAATCCTCGTTTAGCATTAATTATCGACATGCTAAGACGGAAATCGTGATCCATTTAAAGGGACTATCCCACCTTCTAAAATGTTGTTAAAACCAGTTAAATTGTGCCCGACTTTATAGATTGGATGACCAGGAACACGGTTCTGGCATTTATTTTTCATTAAACATCTTAGGCTTCCCATATTCCAAACACAAACTTTCAAATATGTGACGTCACAGCCCATAATTACCTCCTTCCCCAGGCCACATTACTGTCATAAAGCTGATTCTGTTTACTCTGTAGGCACCACAACAAAGTTCAGACCAAGTTTTAAGCGATTTTTCAACGAACAAAACCATTTAAATCAGAATGACTAAACGAGGTGACGTCACACTAACGGTCGCTCCATGTTGAAGATAGGGCCTTGTACAAGGCCCATTTTCAAATGAAGGGAACGAATTTCTTCAACACCAAGAGGCCGCGGGGGTCGCAACCTAGATAGATAGTGGTTTCTGAACCTCGCCGCAAACATGGCTATCTCAACTCAAACCCCATGTTAAAGGTGGGATATTCCGCAGTCAGGAAATCGCATGCGAGAGCCTATTCAAATACATGTAAGCACGCTCGCATCAATCGCACGCACCTCCCGCAAGCGATTGATGCGAAAAGAATTACAATGTATTTGAATAGGCTCTCGCGTGCGATTTCCTGAACGCGGAAAGAGTCTGTTTCAGCCTTTAGATAGGTTATGTGAAATGCTTGACGAAGGTTCGCCGCAAAATTTACAGCGTTGTCTTCTACGTTGACGAGGGAAAAGTAATTAATAAAACAAAATTTAACTGCAAATTGTCGAGAGAAAACTGCACATTTACGATAATGATTTCGCAGACGAGGGAGAGCAATATTTCACTGAACGCTTGCGTCAGGAAAAGTTATCTAGGAAGGGGAGTGGGTTTAATTCGGATAGGGATGGAAGGAACTTTGACAGACATTGACAGATTTACGGGACACGCAGTCAGGCTACGTCCATGCTGATGAATAAGATTGAATTCATCAAGTTGATTGAATGCGTAGTTGTATTAATTAAAGCTACGCAACTCCTCATAGCACCCGGGGTAGCCGAGCGATGAGAGAAAATGTTTGGATGATATTTGCTTTCTTCTTGACACGGTTTGACCAACTGAATACTAATTGATTGTATGTATAATATTTATAAATATGTTTGACACATACAAATCACGGTTCTTTGTTTTCAGGTTACATTTTCCTTTTCTCTTATAAATCCATTACGAGTTAAGTACAGTTTTTCACAGCTCTTTATTGTTTGAAACTCTTAAAACAGCCCCATTCACACTAATCAAAGATGTAATTTTTGCTTAATTCCACTTCTACGGCATTGTTAGAGCTTACGTATATAAAACAAACGTGAAGGAAATGGCTTGTCATAGAGCTCTGGTATAACAAACCAGCAACATACATCAAATAAAAACCACCTCCATCTTGCCCTGTTTAAAATGTTCCGTCATGATGATAAACGTTTCCTATTTATTGCTGCTTTACTGGCATGTCGTAAGCCTGCAAGGCCGTATAAATTATGCAGGATTACTTACATCTGCATAGAAGTCCTTATTCTCGCGAGTTGCTGTGCGTTGTTCCTTTGTAGACGCTCTCCCTTATTTGCAGATGCTGCAGTGACGCACCAGGAAACTATAGAATCACATGAGATGACAGTTAAGTTTAGATATTGCACGGTGACCGATAGCTGTTAACGTTTACAGACCTAGGTGACAAATACAAAAATACAACGTGGCACACAGTTCCCTCATTTTCAAATAAAAAATTAGACAGTAGCTAGGTAAGGTACTTACCAACCATTACATTAATCTCATTTCACCTAATTTACATCTAACATTTATCACTTACAAATAACCTATTATGACTTTTTTATTTGCAAATAAGAATTTTCAAACTTTTCGTTCGTTTTTTTTCGTTTTTTCACCTTTTTCCTGTTTTAGTTTATGAAGAGTTCATTCCGAGACTACCTTGTATTCTTATGTAGATAGAAGTAAAATGTGATGTCGCTATACCTTTGTGACTTTAATAGTGTCCTAATAGAGGCATAAATGGTAAGTGATGCAAAACAAAACGTCCGCAAGCATCTGAACGGGCCAACCCTGTAAATTTCTTTACATTGTTTACAAAAGCACGGCCCAGTAAATAAATCCATTTCGATGACTAACAACGTTCAGCAGAATATGTGCATAAGTATCTGGCGATGTATAAGCGCACTGCTGAATATAAACCAATTTGTGGCTGATAATCAAAAAATCAGTTTGCAATACGCATTCACTTTCACGTGCATCTACAGAACTTAGCAATATGTACAAATCGTTGGAAAGTAATGAGGCGCATAACATTACAGGACTGAGCTTAAAAAAAATATTGGCTCGCATTGTTTTGCATGAAACACAGGTGCATTGCGTGCGCGGAGACCCAGCACAGAAAATGCAAATGTTCAAGCGTTTGCCGGAGTTTGTGGTGCATGAACCTAATGGTATACTCGTAACAAGGCAGATTCGCATTGCCAAAATTTCCCTTAGATGGCCTAAGTAGCGTCGAATCGATACGATTACTTTCTACGGGAACAATTTATTTTATTTGTCCCGTACGAAAGTCACATATTTGGTTGTCCAAAATTTACTCTGACAATAATTATTGTAAAATACTTCCAATGAGACAGTAACTGATTCATTCTCTAGTAGGTAACTACTACATTCCGCAAAGAGTTGTTACTGTTCGTGAGCATATATTCCACATCGCAAATACCAACAGAGTGGCATCATGTCTGTCAAATAAATACCTAAGCGCCGCTTATCCTTTGATACAATTTTGGTTGTTTTTGCATTCTTTGGTATGTAAATCTCTACAAGACGTCACCGTAATAAAGTGTGCCAAGTCAATGAATGTTATAGCGTGAATCTCTATAGTCGTAGGAAAGCCGTATATTTCTAAAGGTATTCTGATGCGAGAAGAATTTTAGTGCGGATGATTTAAAGGCCAACGATAACATACAAACCAGTAAAAGTCATCCAAATACGGTTCCAAACAAACACAGCTAGCTGGAAAAAGCGACCATCATAGCCAGTATTAGTGCATGATCAGTTCAGCAAACAGGTCTTCCAGACGAGGGCAGTTCAGTCAGTGACTGAAAATTCACAGCCAGTCTGATCCACAGGTGGTTCCCAGTCGGAGAACGAGGATGGCGCCGAATCTCCGCACGTGCCGGTGAGTTCAGATGATGTTTATAGTTTTTTTTTTTTAAAGGGCTCTGGCTTCAGCATATTTACGTCTGGACAACGAGTTGCGTTGGAGAGGCCGGAAATAGTGGCGATTTCAGGACCGCAAGAATGGACCGTCATTGGAATGATTCTTTTTTAAACCGTGCACTGTTTTCGGCCGGAATTTAATAGTTACTACAAAATATTTTGTAATTACGTTTCCACCAAGAATGAATGCCATCAGGGCTAAATTTTTAATACTATTGCATTTTGTCAAGAAGCATATAGTGCTGTTAAATTGCAGTTTTAGCGCGTTTGTTACAAAATATGAAGCGAATAAGCGTCAGTGTAATTCATCAACAGTGCCAGGAGTTAACTTGGGGGAAAGCTATGCTGATTGCTCTTGTTCATCCACTAAAATTTATTAAATATTTTGCTTTGTGTATTCCAAAAGGAGAGGGAACTATTTCATTTGTGCCTTCATGTCAGAATTGAAGGTGGATCATTAAATTTTCAACGCAGTTTACAAGCAAGCATTTGGGCTTTCTCGTTTATAAGCAGTGCAGTGGCTAAGAAAAGGTTGATCAATCCTGAAGTTCAGTCATCGTACCTCAACTTGGCAGCAAGATCCCCCAAGGACAGAGGATATATTGTATACATGTCCTGTAAATCAAAACAAACAAGCATTTGGTCTTTCTCGTATAGTAAGCAGTGGCTAAGAAAAGGTTGATCAATCCTGAAGTTCAGTCATCATACCTCAACTTGGCAACAAGATCCCCCAAGGACAGAGGATATATTGTAAACCTGTCCTGTTAATCAAAACATTTTTGTGCCTTCAAAGGCTTAAGTTATCTGTGGTGTGTTCGGAGTTAGGCTATATGGCCGTTTTTGTTGTATGTTTATATGGAGATTGAATATAACTGTGACCCTGTGCTTGTTTGTATACTTACGGTCAAACAGGGAACAGCACATTCACATAACATACTCACCTAGCACCTAACTCATAGCTGTACCCTGCAGGATCTGTACTTGTTCATGTCTCGAGCATTAACAAAGCACTAAAGTACACTGTAAAAAAAATTCACTAGCTAATTTTGAAATTAGGCATTTTTTACGAGTGCCTCCCTTGCACCTCGTTACAACATATATGGACATTAGTAGTCAGAGCCATGCACGTTAACAATGCCCTTTGTGGAACAAATGCCTACGAGCGAGAGCATGTTCAGGAACCTAATTTTGCGCAATGTTAATGAACTACGCACAGCCTCACAGTGTTACCCGCCGTTGGCTTGTTCTCGGCCAGTTTTTGGCGTGTCCCTCAATAAGGTCATTTTGCTATTAGCTCAGCTGACGAGGCCCCGGCTGGCACCTACTAAACGGATAACCTTGCGTGCAACCCCGCTTGTTGTCACGAACGCCTGCAGCTGGTAAACGTGCTGGTAAGCTTGCGTGGTAAGCGGCTTCGGATGGCTATGAGGATGTGCCTCATAGCTATCCTCGTCGCATGTTACAACCTAGGAGTCTGTGGCTGCTTTCAGAAGGAGTCCCCCCCCCCCCCCGCATCCGGGAGCCGGCGTCCATTTTGTGTTGCGTCGCCATTACTGTGTGTGTCTGCCCAACTGCTCTTTGGCTTGATTGAAGGTGAGGCATCTTGTATCATTTGCTGTGTGTTCAACAAAAAGGTTGTCCATTTGTAAACAAAAGTTATTATGTTGTTGAGCTTCTTAGAAGATGTATAGTATCGCATAATGCTGCCCGTCGTTGGCAGAAGTGCGCCGGTATCGTCTATCCAAGTCAGAATAGCTATGTATATGTTTGGGACTTACGCTAGCTTGTGGCAGGAATATATCACTTTATTCAACTTTAATTTAATCATTTTCCAGATTGGTATGCCTTATGATAATAATAATGCTAATATTGTTTTTTTTCACCCATTACAGACTTCTCTGGTAAAGAATGGGGCCATGTACATATGTCCTGGCCTACCTTCACCCCGCGACTGCCGCCGGTGCAGAGCTAATGAAAAATCACAAATGTTTGATTGTGGTTATTTAAGAAACCTGATTGCAAATTATTCAGTTAGTTGTTGTTGTTGTTGTTGTTGTTGTTGTTGTTGTTGTTGTTGTTGTTGTTGTTGTTGTTGTTGTTGTTGTTGTTGTTGTTGTTGTTGTTGTTGTTGTTGTTGTTGTTGTTGTTGTTAAAGTTATAGTTATTGTCCTGGCGTTGTTATTGTTCTCGTTCTCGTTCTCGTGCTCGAATAAATGTGCTGCAGCGCTACTCAGTCTGTTTACTTGCGGGTGGCGGTCGAGAGTCGGGGGCACTGGGTTGACGGAATTCCGTCGACCAGTGCCCCCGACCCCGAAGGCCAGTAGTGGTACTAGTTAACTAGTGCCACTACTGGCCTTGAGCTAGTACCACTACTAGCCTTGGGGGCTAGTACAATTACTGGGTATTGATTAGTAGGCAGTGGCTAGTTACCTTACCAGGCAGGGGCTATTATGACACCTAGTAGACGCACTACCCACGCTATTTACGTGCGTGTTGTCAAACTAGGTGGAGCACGGTGGTCGTATGCATACGAGGCACAGCCTTGTCGAACAAGCTTGTTGCTCGGCAACTAGCCTAAAATTAGCCAAATTTACACGCTCCTGCAATGTTATTTTTGCGCTGAGAATTCCTCTACGAGGGGCTTGTAAGTTTTTTTTACAGTGTAGCTTAGTAATAATTTCCCACATTTTCTGAGCATCTAACATGACATACAGCAGTGCAGAGCAGCTACAGAGAAGAAACACTTTAAATGCACAGACTCACACCAGCCACCCAATGAGCCAGTTCCTCAGTTGACTGTTTCCCTGGACACAGCTTGGCAATGTGAGCTAACTTTTGGCAAGTTGAAGGTTAGCAGGTAAGATTGAGTTAGGGTGAGTACCTACCTATAACTGGGTGCTACTGCCACGCAGGTCTTGGGTAGGCTGCAAATATGTGTGATGATTAACATTGAGGTTAGGTCAGCTGTCAGGTTAGTCAGGTTCAGGTATGCTCATTGCTCAGGTCACATTTTTATGGACATTTGGCAAATTAAAAAACTAACAATCTGATCTAAGCTAACCCGACTAAATATACACAACTACTGACTAGGAACTGAGCACCTACCTACTTGTGCCTACATCTCATACCATGTCAAAGTAGAGTTCCTTGGTGGAAGATTACCCTCAGTACTTTTTATCCCAGTCCTGTGAAGAAAACTAATACTTCTAAGCTCTGAGTCACTGCTGGCCATCCACAGGAAGAAACGCTGAGACTGAGAGTTTTGCCATTGTATATTGGACCAATAATGACTATCACGAATGACTATGAACACATAATATGATCACATCGTTGCATGGATTGTCACATTGACAATTTTACTACAATCCTTTTTTCAAAAAAATACAGTGATGATGATTAACATCAAAATCAACATAAAGTGGATTTAGTGATCCAAGCTTTCTCCTCCAGTAGCAATGGAATGATCGCATGTTTCATTTGCCAGACACTGAGTACCTGATGCACATTACAATCTGCATAGCATCTAAGCATAGTAAAACTGCCCAAGTCCATTGATTCTTTTAGGCGCAATTTCAAAAAGTCAAAGACCAAATTCAAAACGTTCACGTGCATTTTGAACGTAAACTTTTTGAATTTGACCTTTAACTTTTTGAAATTGCGCCTAAAAAGGTGTAGATTTTAACTTGATAGTTAGCACTAATTTATCTTGCTGTTGTAAGTTATCATTCAATATTCATACCAATACATCAATATGCGCTCATCAGTCAACATTTTCTGGCATGATCCTGCTCAGCGTGCTCTTCAGTATTGCTCCAAGGTCTGCAATATTATAGCTTGTTTTTAGACAATAAGCTCTTTTAATTTTACTTTTTCTTGCTGATATATGAGCCCGATCAACTTGCGTTTATCAACCAAAATTTCATAACTTGTTCAACTTGATATTGATATTGCTCAGTAGTCAAGACCTCTGTCAGCCTCCTGGATACTTCAGAGTTCAGATCGTTTTCAGTCAACATGCTTCTTAAATATGATATAAGTCAATCTTAAGGGATTTAAAACATCCAACAAAACGACGTACAAGAGCAAGAAAACCACCAGATAAACTAAAAAATGGCCTTGGACAGAGCCAAGTGGTGCTCCATTTGTTTGTTTACAATGATTGTAGTGCTGATGTATTTTTAGGACTCTGAACGTCGGCTTATAAAAAAATGAAACGTTTTTACAAAAGTTGTAAGGCAAGTAATATTTATCTGAAAGAACTAAAATATTCAAAAGCCAAACACTATGAAATACATGAATCGGAACGAAAAAGTAACCCAAAAATCCAGCCTAATCACCGGCTCCTAAAACTGCAACACAATCAGCACTTTTCCCCGCAACTCGTTGTCCAGACGTAAATATGCCTGGCTTCAGTCATGTTTTTCGATTAAACACGTGTTTTAGCCAGCAAAACGGGCAAAAAATGAACCTGAGAAAATCAAAGGTCGACTAGTTTAATGTGATTTCTTCCCGATGATTTCCATACGTGCGTTTTGGGGCTAGATATTAGAACAGAGGTGATGTCATGCTGTCGAACTTGCACTGCAATGTAATGCATAGCATAGCTACCAAGGACAGAACCACTTAGTCGATTCTAGCCTCGGTAACAATGAAAACGAAGTTTTCCTCAATTTCGTTGACACTTTGGGCCATTGTACGGACATTGGGTGCCAGCAGCCACTATGCTCAGAATGCACAATATTCATGGATTAACCGAGCATAACTTGAAATGGAATATTTCTGCGGTTGGAAATTCTTGGTCAGACGCTGAAGCTGCAGAACTCACGAGAGAGCTTCGATAATGAGCTTGGAGCCAGAACCCTTCTGAAAAAAAAAACTATAGCTAGGTTGTTTAGAATAATGTTTAGGGCCTTTCTTTAGGGCTAACCACCGCCGGACCTATCAGCTTCCTCATCCGCAACGGCAGAGGGTTTTCGACCTCCCTTGACTTTTTACCCCGAATTGGGTTAATTTTCCGACGAAATTAGCGTGTTCACCGTTACGAGGGGAACGATTGGTGCCCAATTTTAGGCTCTCAAGTAAACCGGCTACCTCATTAACATGACAACCTGAGGTCAAACACATCGGGACGAGATCATAGAGACCATGAGAGACTCAGGATCTACTCAAAATACAAATCGACATGTGTACACCGTGCACTCAACCTCGCAAACGGTCACCTCGCCCCACGAGAGAGCCAATGCCCCTGAGGAGCTACTCACGTCGGATGAACGGGACCGGCCAGCAGGGATCACGGAAATTGAGGCGCTGAGGAGATGGGATTTGTTGGTCCCGAGGACAAATCGGAGGGATCGAAGAGATAAATATGTGTATACTAGTACATGTACTACATCATGTCATTGTCACCTGTTAGAAGCTTTCGTCGCCAGTGCAAGAAAACAACTCTATGCAAATTATCAAACATTGTTCGGCATTGCGAAAGGGCTGGCGTGGATCGCGAAATCTATTACATATACCTATATGTCAACTTTATTGTAAAGAATCGTAGCTGCCCAAAAAGATGTGAATTCAAGGAAAGTTGAGCTCTCGTGATCCCGCTTACTGCATTGTACATGTGAACATCGCCCAGCAACTGCTTTGTTAGGCATCCTTTCTATTATGTTTAGTTTACGATACATTATTGATAAGATGAGAGGCCCTATTGTACGTTCATGAGCGGTATCAGATGTTTGAATTATTACAATCGCGTGAACAAGATGTAATTAATGTTGATGTGTGTTTATATTGTTATATGTATGGATAGTATTTCACAGCAAATATGAAAACGCAACGTAATGACGCAACGTAACCTTGTAATACAGCATCATCACCTATATTTGAGTGTTTCAATCTAATCCAAGATAGAGGCATAAGTAGCTTGGGCCCAACATTTTTGGATTAATGTCATTCCTTGGCCACCGACAAAGACCAGCCCATAGTGGACAGATATATTTGCACATTTCCCTGACGTCAATCATCTAAATAATTAATGTTTTATTGCATCCCCAATTAAACCACAACCTAACTACCTACTTATTGTTTACTATCCAACATCATCACCTTTATTTGAGTGTTTCAATCTAATCCGCGATAGAGGCATGAGTAGCTTGGGCCCAACATTTTTGAATTAATGTCATTCCTTGGCCACCGACAAAGGCCAGCCCATATTGGACAGATATATTTGCACATTTCCCTGACGTCAATCATCTAAATAATCAAATAATGTTTTATTGCATCCCCAATCAAACCACAACCTAACCACTCATTGTTTACTATACAACCGTGCAAAGACGTTTCCCGTTGTCATTTTTTTCAGAAGGACAAGCCGCTGCTACAGTTGCTCATGAACCCACACGGCCACGTGTACGACATGAACGCGCTCAAAAAACAGGGCTGGATAATCGACAACAAGGTACTGATCGTGGGTAACGGTTTCTCTCAATTATGTATGCGTGTGTTGTAGAGTAGGAATTCCATCATAAGAGCCAAGGTCAAATTCAAAAGAAAAAACATCTTCCGTTAGCTGTTTCACTCAGTGAAAATGGTCAAATTACATAGGTTGCACAGCACTCAAGTCTAAGTCCACATCATTACGCATTGTAATAATGATAACAGTTGTTAACTATATCTTCAGGTGTACAACTTCAGAAGGCAAAAAAGCTCTTTCTTGTGTTTTCTCTTTGCCTAACGGCCTTACATGCCAGTCACGTAAGTCATTACGCAAAGCATAATTTACATAAACGACCGTAATGTCACGCTGTATGCTTGACATCTTCTTGCACGCCATAGTGATATCCGGGTGTAAGTTTCGCGCTTATTTGCCCGTCTGTGGTGTCTGGAGCCTGGATACTATTCGGTCATCACGCCTAACCACGTTCATTTATCACCAGGGTGGCCTCTCGCCGGAGATCTGCTCAGACCTCATCAAGGACCTCAATTCACCCACCGGGAAGGGTGAGTGTCGTATGAGCACGGCAGGCCGGCTGGAAGAGAATCTCGGACAATACCGTGGGGTGCGGTTAGTTAAAACACCTAGCGTACACATGAAACTTGAAAGTGACATTTGGGAAATGATGGTGAACACCCGCGTTAATGAACTGCGTTTCGAAGGAGCGAAAGTAAGTCAGATTTATATTGAGCTAAGCGTTCCAAAGTTTAGCAAAGTGAATAAATCTACACATTCAAATTTATGCAATTTCACTTATTCAAATGTACCTTTTCAAAACTACGTAACGACGCATTTGAAGACCAGTTAATCACACACAAAACACGAAAAGTAACCCAATTCTTTCAACAGTTCGCCAGTTGAGGTCGTACCTTTGTAAGCGACAATTCTACAAAACATGAAAAGGCGAAGCTCACCTCTGATTATTGTTGGTGTGATTTACTGCCCTATAGAGGGCTTTGATCTACTGTCGTACAAATTGAACGGTTGTGCTGTTATGGAGCGCACCAAAAGTCGAGTAGAATACCGTCGGCTCTGCTTTCCGATAACTTGGTTTAATTCGCCGGTTTGATAGGCAGCCGGTGGAAACTTGTCAAGATCTTTGATTGTAATGAACGGCAGATTTCAGACGCTTTGATATATTAATTGATACTCAACAAACTTCACCGGTTTCCCTGACAATGTGTGGCAGCTTCACTGCCAGCGAACTAAAATAATGAAAACGAAACGAAATAAGGTGAAAATTTAAAGCGAAAAAAATATCAAAACTTCCAAGATGAATTACTTGACCCGCGCACCGACGGCGGGGGGGGGCGGATATCCGCCCCCTGAGGTTTTTCGTAGATAGCGGGTTGACCGCGGCGCGTAGCGCCGCGAAATTTGGTACGACTGTTCTCTCATCAATTTTACACATGATGTGCAAGTTTGAACCTCCTAGCTTTTTAGGCCAGGTCACCAGGTCACTTTGAATGACCCAACCTCAAAACACTTTTTTGCAACTTTGTCACCGTGCCAGAGCTACAGTAGAAGTCAGAGGCCTTTGAAAGTCGCAGGATGTTATAAGGTCTTTAGTAGCTACAATTTGTTTATCTCGGAATCCGTAAAGGAACAAGATACAGCCGCGCGGATGGTCTCATTGTGTTCAGCTCGTCAAAGCGCATCGAATGCTATACATGATGACCTCGAGGTCACATGACCTGAGGTCAACCTTTGACCTTGACCTTCCGAGGTCAACATATATATCATTCAATGCGGATTGACGAGAGGATCACGACGATGCCCTTAGTTTGTTCCTATCTTGACTAGTTCGAAAGTTATTCGAGAAAAAAATCTCGATATCTAGCGCCGCCATTTTGCCTTTTTTGACCCCTGTGACGTCATCTTTGACCTGACCTGAAAATGACCTCAGTAAAAATTGTAGACCTTGTCCGTGCGTATCCCATGCCGTTTACCGCTTATCGCTATCTTGCTTCGTTCTCGAGATCTCAGGGGGGGGGGGGCGGTCATCCCCCCGTCGGTTCTAAGTTGGCGCAGACCCCCGTCGGTGCGCGGGTTAAAGCTTAACCCTCGCCCGCACATGCCATTTTCCCATCCTAGAACGCACATGGGGGGGGTGGTTGCCACCCCCCCCCCGCGCCATTTCGTTCCTGTTGGAGATAGAGCTTAGCAGTAAAGACCAAAAAGATTCTTTGGGAAGAGACGAATCCAATGATACCCAGTTTTACCTTCTCAGGTCAGTCATTGACCTTCCAGGTCAGGTCAAACTAAAAAATGTTGCTGTTTTGGGTCACCGTTGGATATCAAGTGTGCTGCTTATCAAATACCGATGACGATGCTGTTTTCTGGTGCCAAGCCAGCTAGAACCTCTTTGTCGCACTACCCGACCAGAATTTTGCTGCTGAGGTCATTTCAGGTCAAGTTAGGTCAAGGTCAATTATATGTGTTTGTATGTCTGTGTGTGTCTGTGTGTATACTGATGTGTGCACCGATTGTTTTTGGGTCCATATTACATGAAATCATGATCTGAGAAGCTTTTACCAAAAATGCAGTCAAAAAAACTTCAAAAAAAAGTAAATTCAGCTTGCCTAAAACGCAATTATCTTAGGTGACCTAGGTTGACCTTGACCCTGACCTTGACCCCTGTACATCGTCGAACAACATGTTCCATGATAGGTAGGAGGTAAGACTGGCAAAAAAGGCCGAAATCAGGGTGTCAAAAGCTCATAAGGCCCATGGCAAACGCAAGATGTTGAGAATTGGCCATTTGGGTCATGACATGACCTGAAAAACAAGGTCATATCTCCGAAACCAAAAATCACAGAAACTTGAAATTTTCAGTGGACATCAAGAAAGGATAGAGGAGCAGCTATACGAAAAATCAGCCTTCTAGCTCTAAAAATGTTGAGTGCAGAGCAGAAAGACTACCTGGGGGGGTGGCAACCACCCCCCCCCCCATGTGCGGGCGAGGGTTAATGAAGCTGTGAACATTGAAGATGGGTTTCCGATCCAGCAAACAAGATAAAAGTGACAAAATATATACCAATATTTCCCTTTTAAAAATCTACCGCACACTTTTTAGTGCTTCTGAACCACACCTTGTATGACTGTTGTGATAGAGCAAGAGATTCAGCAGCTTTGCTTATTACCACACAGGGTCGATGTGACTTTCACTGAATAAAAAAAAACTATTGCATTGTTCTATTGTCGTGTATCCTCACTACATGACACTACACTTGCTACACTATATCCTATCAAACCGAGCAGTGTTTTATACATGACATTGTATGCATAAACATTACACAACACACCTTTCCTCTTGATTTATACACTTTCATTTGTGCTTCCCAGACATCCCTTGTGCACCTTCGCAACACACCAAGTTTTCATTATCATGAGTTATTGATTTACCTCGAGACAGCTCGCGCTAAGTTGTATTCATGATCCCCAGGTGCGCAAATATTCGCCAAGCGAAAGAAGCGAGCAGAGAAGTGGGTCGTAGACGAGGAACACCGTGAGACAAGAAAAACAGATGAGTCCCAAGTGGACGCGCCGTCTCAGCCAAAACCCGCAGTTCCACCGCCGCAGCCGGCACAGCCTGCGCCACAGCCGGCGCAGCCCGCGCCGAAACCGTCGCAGCCAGCGCCGGCCTTCCAGCAGTAAGTGTTTTTATATGAATTTAGTTGGAGTGTTTGAATGGACGGTGACAGCACCGGAATCCACGGTTACGACTGGGCGTAATTTGTTGCACAGGCCTCAAACCCTGCCACCAGATCGGGCGATTCCGGGTAGTGGGAGATTCCGAAGCTTAGCGTGCCCATCAAAGTCGGACACAGCCTGTTCCACTCCACCGAGTTCGGCTGGCTGCGGCTGCTCCCACCAACCGCAGACCATCCCCGTCAGGGGTCGCATATCGAGCGCTGGAATGACTCGAACTCAGGCTCCCACCAACGGAAGTCCAACGTTCTAACCGACTGAGCTACGGGGCCGAGCTACCAAGCATCCGTTTTACAATGATGGCACGTTTATGACAGCTAAAGTCCGATAGGTAGTACAAATTAATTCTAACGTGAGCAATCAATTAGGCATATATTACAAAAGTAAAGCTTAAACATCTATCACGAGCATGACTTTGATTGATCTAGTGATCACTTCCATGGATCAATGCGTAGATCATCTGTCCGAATAGCACCATGACTTTCGTTTCCATGACTGAACTTGGTTTCAGAGCATGATTCAGGTAGGTACAGCGCCTTTACCTGCAACATCGAGCTGGCAATTTCAAAAGACATAAGTAAATGTTTTATTTGAAATCAATCGTCTGCTGGCGTGGGTATTTCTCATTTTCTCATCAAAATACCGACAAAATCAGCACCTGATATTTGCCACACTTCAACATCACGTGCTCGCAATTCATCACTCCAGCAAGACGAAAACACATCTACTCATCGTTTTTAGCCATCTGTTCAGTCGGCACCCGGCAACCACGTTTTGGTGTCCTTCACCACGCCGATGCAGGATGCTGCGCGGGCGGGCGGTTGCTTGGAGATGTCAACATCTGGAGTCTTATGATACACGACGCCGCTTGTAATAGCGCCAAAGAACAGAGATTCACGATGAGTGATGGCCGCAAACATCTCTCGCTGAGAGGGCCAATCGAGCGCGTGGCACGCTCGGTTTGTCTTCTCCGAAGGAAAACGCGAGGAGCCGAGAGATAAACTCCCTGAAATGATGAAATGAAGCGGCCAACAACGATGGAAATTTCTATTTTTGTGTTACGTGATCAATCATTACCGGTTCGTAAGCTCATTAGGGTGTTACTTACGATAGTTAAGTGACGTCCGATGGGTCCTTGTCCATTTGAAGCCGTTGAGATAATGATTGCTTACCAGAATTGGAAACATCAGGAATTGACGAATCTGCCCAATTTTCCATTCAGAATTGGACTGCAAAATGCTTTAGAGTTAGTTAAGTGGAACTCTGATCTCTGAAGCCTTCCATCGATCATCATTAACATCGACCATCATTAACAGCTAGATTAAACAGAAGGCAATCTGCTTTGGCCGATTGAAACTATTTATTTCGTCAGTAAACGTCAAATGCTTTAATGAGATTGTATGCAATGGGCTTCAATAAATAGCACGGGCTCATTAAATAAAGAATCATATTATTTAGGCTAATTTGACCTGTTTCGGGGGGATCTCATCCTTCTACAGTTCGCACGAGCATTTGACACTAATATCCTCAAACCGGTCTTCAATTAACCATGCACTTGCACCACGACGTTCGGCTACAATATGATACTGACCCCATAATGCGTCCCTGGTGTCAAACGCGTGCGCGTTAGCTGCAATATGAGACCATCCAGCACGCCTCGGAGGACCTCCATCTGCTGAAATTGGCACTGCTCAGCGCAATCTCCTCCGTCAGAGCCGGCTCTCGCCCCGCAAAACATACACACGCTCCCGGCCGCCGGAATTTGACATGGCAACATGTCTCTGTGGGCCACGATGAGGTTAAGCCGGCCGGGCGCGGGTCAGTCATGCGGCGGGATATGGAACCTCCCCGGTGATTGTACCTAATGTAGCGGCCATCATCGTGTCGGAAGGGTATGATGAAACAAAGACACACGTATGGAGGTAATCGAAACCCATTCAACGGCCAGTTCCGGGGTTCAGTTACTATTCATAATTAAGTATGCAATCCACCGAAACATAAACAGAGAAAAGTTGCTTATTCCACATGAAATTGCCTCCAATGCACAAAACAAAATCAATATGCTCTTTTACTTGATCATGCATGTATCTTCGGTAAATAGCTATCAGTCAATGGCAGCGAAATGCTTATTGAACATTTTTCGTTTTTTTCCACTTCAATACCAATATAGCTTAATTCAGCATTCAACATTACAACGGCGCCTTCCAATGTTATAGGCATTTAAACGTATATGACGCAGGCTGGGCTACCACTCGCGATATTACATATATAACAAGGTCAACATAATTTTTCGGCAGCATCCACTGCTCTAAGAAGATTGGCAGCCGGGCTGCTATCTCAATTTATTCCACAGCCGCCATCCGTTATAAGCGAAGAGAACGTGCAATGCTCTCTCCATGACCGCATGGTCGCCATGCGGCTATTTTCTCCGTCCCCGGAAAAGCCATCCTCACTCATCCTTCCACAAGAGTACTGCTCAGGAGCAGCGCCCATAGGCGCGACATCGCCAATTTACTCTGAATTGATCCGTTCAAGTGGGGTCAAAGGGAACGCCGCTCCGCTCAATTTGTCAGCCCCACAAAAGGGTGATCACAGCCAGGCCCAACGCGCCACTCCGGCCAAGCAGAAAACGTCTCGAGGCGAGAGATCAAGTCCCCTGGGCCGAATATGATAGAAAGCCGTACTGTGATATTCACAGCTTTTGATAACATCTGCATTCCACGATGATGCTGAAATTGAATTATGTGTTGCTTAACGGGTTTATGCCTGAAAGTCAATTGACGATGGGGTGAAATGCATGAAAACCATTTTGCATTTAAAAGCCGTTTACCGTGTGGTTGTGGCAAAGTGGCTGAACTTAACTATCCGATTTCCAGCATTTACAAGACCATCGTTGGATTATCTATCACGCGCGTTGCCTATTCTGATAATGCGGTCAATAGGATTTTGCACCACTGCACTGGTTGACTACACGAAGGGGCTATTAAGTGCAAAATGTTTTGCGGCGCCTTTCAGTCCGACGTGAGTTGCCTTACTAGGAGCCAGTGTGTCGTCCGTGATACGCATTTACCAGCATCGGTATCGGTAACCGAGGGTGCGTGTTCAATAGCTACCTAAAAACAATTCGTTAGAACTGCGCCTTTCTATTGAAAAACAAACCTGAGTTCTTGAACAATTTTGCAAAAGCTGCCTAAGATTATGGGTACATTTTTTATAAAAAAATGCACTAAATAGGACAGCACGGAGATTATGCGTACAAAATAGTTTTTTACAAAAAAAAAAACAGGAAGGAGGACATCACGACATTTTTTAGCTGCCTTTTTAAGCTCACGGCACTGGAGTACCTAATCACGAAACCAGCAGCCACCGCTGTGGGGAGAGACGCTGTTTCAACACTGAGTGGCTGAACGGGACAGTCTCGCCGTCCGGTCCAGATGGGTCCCGCTGAGTGGTGCTTCGTGATGCCACTCTGGGTGGCGCTCATATCCACGGCGGGTCGACCGGGACAGCAGCCCAGCTGTGGATGAGCGGTGGCGGCGGCTGGTTTCCCAGAGGAGAGCCGTGCCGATTGGCTGGGTGACTGGGCGGGCGCTCGGGGCTGTTGCAGCCTGCACAGTGTGCACAGTAGGGTGGCCATTTTTTTGCAAAGTACACGGAATCACCGCTCCTAGCCTCGATTCTGATGCATTTTTTCATGCTGATTCCGAATCCGTCGAGAAAAATGAAAAATTCGTAAAAAATTTGACCCCTGGACGTCCTTGAAGTTTTTGGATAAAGTGAAAATATCGACGTCTCACTGTCTAATCGAAAGTTGCGTTGTGTTTAGACTAAAAAGTTTATATGAACGTGAAATATGGTCTGTTGGCGTCACAATGCCGCTAAAACCAGCAATATTACTCATTTGGTTTAGCAACAGCGTTCGATAATATCGGCACCCTTTGGGGCAATCTGCCTCTGATGGCGAGTATCGAACTAATAGTGATACACGTCTGCCTGTAGGTGGCAGCACTGTTCTCCAACCTTTGATTCTTTGATAGGTCATTGTGATATCATTAACACGTTTTATCATCATGTTTTCCTTGCCAAAAGATACAATAACCATTAATCTGATTGTCTGAAAGAAATTTCAAGCATCAGTGTGTCATTTTCCTTTCCTAAATAATGTTTAAAATGAGGTAAAATAAGGTAAAAGCAAACAATGTGAATGAAACGGTAATAGGCCAGGGTAAACACGATTACACAAGGAATCGTGTACGACAGGTTAATTTCGTTCAGTAGCATACACGGGACGGGATGCACCTAGAAGCTCAGCGAGCCCCACCGGCATTTGGTTGGGTCGTAAGACCCTATGACTTATGACCCTATGACAGCTGCCGGCCCGTAGTGATGTCGTTGGAAGATTATGCAATCGTAGACTAGAGCCGATGGCGTTGTGCGGCACTGATGTGTCACGGACCAATAAACCCCATCATTTAACAGGTCACCGGTGAAGTATTATGGTTATGCACTTACTTGCCTGCCCAGCGCATTGACTCAATGGTGGCCAAAATCATGAACTGTCGAACAATAGGCAAGATCGCTAAAGCGTCAGACTCTAACAACTGCACAATCTGAAAGGACCAGCTCGCTGTTTGACAGCGCACCGGAATTAGTTACCGGAACATCCCGAGGATTTGTCCTTCCTCGCAGATCAGCTCGGTGCCAGGCATTAGCACATCGGCCAGTAGCTAGGCAACAGCGGGATACTGGAAAGGACAGGCGAAAAACCGGCAGCGCTGCTCCTCTGCTCTGTGCCGCTGCTCGGCAGAGTGAGACACCCTCCAGTGGGCCTTCTGCCTCGCTACATTTACACTTCCTCTGCGGGAATTCGCTCATTGTGGCTGGCAGTGAATCCGGTATAGTTAGGCGACAGGTCGGGTCCGCTGAAAAACAGCCAGCAAGGCCGTCTCCGACTTGGGCCGCTGTTCTCATGAGGTCAGTGTCTGCAGCGACACGGTCTCCGCGGCGCCTCGGACGGCAGTTTCACACCCTCCAGACAGGCAAGGAAGCGCGTAACCATACATTAACTTCATCGGAGACATGTTTAATGATGGGCTTTATTGGTACGTGATACATATCAGTGAGGTGAGGCACGACGCCATCGCCTCTAGCTTGAGAGTTGAGCTTGCATAATCTTCCAAACACATCACTGCGGGGCGGCAGCTGGGCTGAAGTCAGGTCACAGGGTTTTACGACCACTTGCCGGTGGGGCTCGCCGAACATCTATAGGTGCATCCCCTGCATGACACTAAACGAAATAAGCCTGTCATAAACGATTCCTTGTGTAATCGTTGCTTACATTGCTGGGGCATTGCCGTTTCACCCAGATTGTTTGCTTTTGGTTAGAAAAGCCTTATTTTAGACATTGTTTAGGTAAGGAAAATGACACACTGATGCTTGAAATTTCTTTCAGACAATCAGATTAATGGTTATTGTATCTTTTGGCAAGGAAAACATGATGATAAAACGTGTTAATGATATCACAATGACCTATCAAAGAATCAAAGGTTGGGGAACAGTGCTGCCACCTACAGGCAGACGTGTATCACTATTAGTTCGATACTCGCCATCAGAGGCAGATTGCCCCAAAGGGTGCCGATATTATTGAACGCTGTTGCTAAACCAAATGAGTAATATTGCTGGTTTTAGCGGCATTGTGACGCCAACAGACCATATTTCACGTTCATATAAACTTTTTAGTCTAAACACAACGCAACTTTCGATTAGACAGTGAGATGTCGATATTTTCACTTTATCCAAAAACTTCAAGGACGTCCAGGGGTCAAATTTTTTACGAATTTTTCATTTTTCTCGACGGATTCGGAATCAGCATGAAAAAATGCATCAGAATCGAGGCTAGGAGCGGTGATTCCGTGTACTTTGCAAAAAAATGGCCACCCTAGTGCACAGTGCAGACTGTACTGCACACACTGCAGACTGACTGTACTTCATACTGCACACAGCATAACACAAATGTGTGCCTTGATTTGCTAGGTTTGCAGAGAAGCCGGAAGCGAAACAAAATCATGAAACCGTTTTATTTAGGTACTTGGTTTCCCTTTGTTTACTACTTTTGTTTATTTTTTCTATTGTTTCATTTTTCCAACATTTACTTCGATCGGTTCTCATCTTTCAGAAAATTGTCTCAAAAGTCACAAAAGATGCAGACTCACCATAGGTGTGTTTGTTTGCGTAGTAAGGATACGTCTAAGAAGTTAGGTTACAAAATTGATAATTCAGGCAATGGACACCTCTTAATGTTGGTTGAAAGAAATGTGGTGTCGATTTACATCGGTCATCAGTTGGTGTACCGACTAAGCTGTAGCTTATTTTTGCGTCAGGTCGGGAGTCCAACATCGTAGATGATGGGACTAAACTTCAAAGTGAGGGTAGTTACAGAAGGTGAATATAATTATTTTGATAAAATATTACACGCAAAGCTACCGAGGCCGACGGAAAGCAATCCAAAATAGGAGCGTTACGCGTGGAAAAGTCATCATCAGCTTCAGCCATATATTGTTGCACTGAGATACAAGATAAATCTAAAGACAAATCTAAGCAATTTGTTGCATCAGACGTGGCATTACATTTGTTTCTCTATTATTGGACGCCTGCCACCATCAGCGCCACATGAAATAGGTGGAAAGAGACGTAATTCACTAATTTAACGGGCTACAAAAAATGAAACATTCAATCAAATTACCCACGATGCTTGTGCTCCATTTGTCAGTTTCATAGGCGGCGGAACGGGGAGGGCACCGGGGCACCGTGCCCCCCTTTGATTTTGGCATTTTAACATTAGCCCTATGGGCGTTGCATGGAAAGAATGGGACTAAAAGTCGGCGGTGCCCCCCCCCCCCCTTAATTGAAGGTGTTCCGCCGCTACTGGTCAGTTTTATCAATTCTCAAATTATAGTAAGTAAATTAGCATATGAAATGCAACGAAACTGCAAACTCAGGGCGAATGTACTTTTTTAAATGGTACAAAGTACCCTGGACTGACCTTAAAATGGTGAGTTTCCATTACGTCTGGTACGGACGGAGGCTTGTAAACTTCTGTCGGAAACAGAATCAGACAGACAATTACCGCGAGTCAACAGATTGCTCAGTGTATGCGATACCAACACGTCAGCCCTCCCGGCAAGGTTGAGAGCAACTGCCAACTGATAGGCAAATAACAAGTTAAGTCTGCATTCGGAAATATGGTGCATATACTCACCGCAACCGCATCAGCATCCATTGAAGTTTGAACAACAGTCCCTTCGAAAGTACAGAGGACGAACACTAGGAAAAAAACGCACCAACAAACATCCTGTTGCCATGCGCTGTGCGGTTTTCCTAGCTAGTGATTAGGGTAGCTAATGCCAAAAACGAAAAGGCAATCGCACAAACCCGGGATAAGCGGTAAGCCACCAAACCGGTGGCAGCATGTGAGACGCCTGCTATAAGAATACCGCCAATCCTACCTGCCAGAGATGTCAGTCTCGGTCGCTCCAAGGTCATTTGCAGCGTCCCCTCCGTATCACAGCACACAACGCACTTGCACCTCGAACTATTGACACAGGGCACCTCACAAAATGTCAGGTTTTCTTCAGAGTTCTAGCACAATCGCCCCACAGCTCCACACTTCACTCACCCTCGACCGTGACTTCTTCCGGGGAGCCTACACGCATGACGCGCTGCGCTGCGTAACTTCCTCATGCGCTGGGGACAGCCAATCACAGCTCAGTTGCCATGACAACAAAGCTTGCGGGTTGCCGCGGATGATTATTGTTGACACAAACCTAGATATGTGTTTGTTGAAGATATCTTTCAATTCAGGTCAACACCTGACTAAATGTGTATAACAAGACATTTGAAACAACGAAGTGCATATTTCGTCTTTTCTGATCGCAGTCCTGTCGAGTCTTGTCCTGTTGTCAAGCGGCCGCTGCGGCCCCTGGCCGGCGAGGCGGACGGGGAGAGGGTGAGGTTGGGCGGGGTGGGGTGAGGGGTGACCGCCCGGGCATGGCCGGCCGGCGGCAATGACTTTGATGGAACAGCCATGTGTCGCGTTGATGAAAGACGGAAAAATAATCGGATATTGCAAACAGGTGCATACTAAGAGTGTCGTTAGTTTTCCCTCAACAAGAATGACTGTTTTCCAGAGTAGTTTGAGGTGCTGAACACGAATTTGGTGTCAGCATTGCTCTACAATGGATAGTTTTGCCTGTATCTGTTTACGTTACTGCATGACAAGGACAAGGCTCTGTATGTCATTCCACGAACATATAAAAGATACAAGTACGGCTCTGATTATGTGTGTTGGTTATATTGTCACCCTACAGGGTGCGTCATAAGTTCTGGTACACTTTTTCTTTTATTAATAAAAAGAGTTACAACAGGTTTACAGAGTTGAGTATTTCAGTAGAGGATCTCTATGAAGTTAAGTCAAAACACGTGTAATATCATGAAAAAAATATTTACTAGCTGAGCCTTAATGAAACAAATGGTAACTGACCGTCCGACAGCTAAGTGCACACCATGGCGCCTTTCTCCCCAACAAAGGAAGTTCGCGGGGCCATCGTCTGCATGAAGATGGCGGATATCTCGGTAGCAAAGATATGTCGCGCGCTTCGCTGCACGCGGAATCTTGTATATCGGACGTGGACCCGGTACCAGGAGACCCAGAGTACCGGAGACCGATTCCGTTCCGGCCGCCCCCGGTCCGGAGGAGCTTGAGAGCGCTTTCCTTCCGTATGTGGCGCTGTGCAGCGTTGAGGGAGTGAACGTGCTTCTTGCGGAGGCTTTTCACGCGGAGATCCTTAGAAATGAGTCTGCGCATGGAACGCTCGGACACATTAAGGTCCCGGGCCATTTGGCGCATGGGACACTCGGGGTTGCGGACAATCCGGCTGCGAACCGCGGCTTTCAGCTGAGGCGTGTGGGCGGACCGGGGGCGGCCGGAACGGAATCGGTCTCCGGTACTCTGGGTCTCCTGGTACCGGGTCCACATCCGATACACACGATTCCGCGTGTATTCGTGCGACATATCTTTGCTACCGAGATATCCGCCATCTTCATGCAGACGATGGCCCCGCGAACTTTCTTTGTTAGAGAGAAAGGCGGCATGGTGTGCACTTAGCTGTCGGGCGGTCAGTTACCATTTGTTTAATTAAGGCTCATCTAGTTAATATTTTTTCATGATATCACACGTGCTTTGACTTAACTTCATAAAGATCCTCTACTGAAATACTCAACTCTGTAAACCTGTTGTAACTCTTTTTATTACTAAAAGAAAAAGTGTACCAGAACTTATGACGCACCCTGTATACTGGCTATCGTGGAATGTCTTTTGTGATCTCGCCGGACTCGTGTGACATGTAAGCTTCTGAGCGTTATGTTGACAATGAACAGTGTCGCCTTTGGTGACCCAATATTCCTTTTTGTGCCCCGTGTAGCCGCTATGACCCCTGAATGACTTCGTGGCTAGATATCACCCTATGCGATCCCTCTGTGACTTACTGTGATCTTTGTGGCCCGATGTGATCTCTGTGACTCCGTGTGACACGTTGTGACTTCTGTGGCCCCGTGTGACCTTTGCGACCTTTGTGACCACCTCTGTGACCTCTGTGACCTCTGTGACCCGCAGACCGCCGGTGCAGCTGGCGCCGGTGCCTCTCCAGTCGCTGTACCAGCCACCACCAGCTCCCCTGTTCCCCAGTGGTGGAGTTTACGCCCCGCGTACCGCACACAGCTGGTCTGCCGTCCAGGAGCAGTCAGGTGGGTACAAGCTGAAGTACGCTACGGTAAGCACATGCTGGATATGAGAAAGTTGTGTCGAGGCACGCAGGTGTCTTGAGATACATGACGTCTTTTTTTTAGCTCATATCATATGACTACGAATATCTCAACTCGTTTATCTCTTTTGTTAAATTAGCGTGGTTCAGAGTGCTTGATATTCTCAAATCTCAAATCTTGAGAATCTCAAGCACTGTCAACCATGCTAATTAAAAAAAGAGATAAATGATTTCAAGTTTATCCAAGGGAACGATGAGCTCAGAGGAATTGAAACACTTGCAAATATTGACTTTCGCATGTCGGTAACGTACTAACCTTTTAACTTACTTTTCTTACTGTACCTCTATTTGTCTATCAACCAGCAATCATCTTTGTTAACATTTTGTGTGTCACACTCATTTTTATTAGCGCAATATTCACTGTCCAGTCACAATGTGGGCAGGAATGGTTCATAGCGCATCGCTAACGCTTCCGTTTCTAACAGCCGCGTAAATTTGCGTTGCAGAAACTAAAAAATTCAAGTCCACCTCCTCCAAGGCCTTCAATGAGATCACCCAAGGCCACGCGGTGACGAATACGTCCCAGAGCTCAGCCAGAGAGTCCCACAACGTCTCCAGCGTCTCCTCACAGTCGATGGTCTCTGAATCTTACCAGCAGTCGCGTGAATCTAGTCAGCAGTCGCGTCTCACACAGGCTATGCAACATGAAGAGAGTGAGAGCCACAGCAGCTCGACGCAAATCTTGGAGACGCTAAGTTCCTCCGGCATGTCTCGTCAAGAGCTGGAGCTTCGCGCCGCTGAAAAGGTGTTTGAAGAAACAGCTCGTCAGATGGAAACAACCTCTTCAGAGCAGGGACGCCACTCACTTGGGTCCATTGACATCCCGGGTGATGTTAACCTGACCTCTAGTGACCCCACTGACCTCGAGCATCCCTATGACCCAATGGAGATCGATCCAGACGCTGGTCCTCAGTTAGCCTTGCTGAAGCCCATCGACAAGCCCTTTGACTGGACTGGAGGGGTCACAGAGGTGGCTAAGCCTACTGCGAGTCCCGTCACTAAGCCTGTCGCTGAGCCAGTTGTGCCACTACCTGCGCTGAAACCCATCGCGAAGCCCGCGGACTGGACCGGACCCCAGGAGTCCACCAGGTCCTCAGATTATGGAGTAGCAGACGAGGAGCCTAAACCGCTAGTGACTCTCAAGCATGTCAGTCTTCCTGAAGAGGAAAAGGTGTTCGACAATGAGCCTGAGCCAGAGCCCAAGCCATTGGTCACCCTCAGACATGTCGAGAAACCTGTAGAGCACTCAGCGATTGACTTAGTAGAAGAAGAGCCCAAGCCTCTTGTCACACTGAAGTCCGTCCCCAAACCGGCCATGGAGGCACCTCCCCTTTCGCTGGATGACCAGCCCGCAGCGTTTGGCGCTCGACTGACCCCGTCTCGTCCTGCTGGAGGTCAGAGGCAGTCACAGCTGACCTCTGAGGTCAGCGAAGAGGTCAGCGGTGTTTGGGGTCGGGTCAGCGCGATCCGAGATACGTTCGACTCGGGCTCTCGCCCCGCGGTACCGATGGAGAAACCCAGGGCACCCACGATGGCCGTTCCGAACGCCTTCCATCAGACATCGTTCTCTGGGGTGGAGCCGAAGCTGGCGGCCACGGCGCCCAGGCTAGGAAAGTCTCGAGAGGCGGTCAGCATGCCCGCCGCGCGGCAGCAGCAGGAGGATCAGCTGATGGCGTGGGGGGATGCTGACGAGCAGACAATGACTTCACCGGCCCAGTACGGCTCTGGACACACGAGAGACCTCACCTCAGACATCGGCCAATCAGCCGGCATCACAGAAAGCTACAACCAATCATATCAGACGTCAGAAAGCTCCTACCAATCGCACACAGCGTGTGCTTCGTCCGAGTTCGGCCGGTCGGCGACAGATGGCAGCAGCGGCGGCTGGTCCCAGCAGCAGCCAATCACCACGCCGCTGGCCGGCGGGCAGCCAATGAGCGCGCCGGATCCGGTCGATGACGTCATGTTCCAGTGCGAGGTCGCACTGGTGGAGACATCTGTGAATCAAGAGGCGCTACAGGCGTATCTCGGCGGTTCGGCGGGTCTTGGATGGCAGGGAGGAGCCACTGAGGAGGCGAGACCCTTGTCCGGTGAGCACCTTTTGGGTGGATGCCGCCGATACCCCTACCCACTTCTTCGGTGCTGCATGCATGATTTATAGCGCTTGCTTACTGCTAGTGTAGTTTGCTATGCTTCCATAGTAGTGGTTGCATGATAATGCCTCACGTCAGGCGTATCAAGCAGTTTTAGCTTTTTGGAATCAGTGCATGACATTTTCACGCTGAGAAGCTCATTCATATGTTTGCTGCTATTTTTACTGCTCTCACTACCACATACTATAATGTTACATCTATAGCTACTCACGATTTAACGTTATCAAAAATCATTGACTTTCTATCAATTCATATATTTATTATTGGTGGCTTTTTCGATAGGTGTTATCATAAGTGTATCCACGGCCATTGGGGCGACGTAAGAAAAGAAGAAAACAACTGGCCCCAAGAACTTTAAAGTATCAGTTAGCATGCACCTTTTCCTTGATGTGTAGAGAATTTACACCATTAATTGTTAGTAAAAATTGCGTTTAAAATCTTCCATTTATGCTTTTATCATCGTTTGCACAATATGTTCTTTTACTAAGCTAGAAACACTAATTAGAAATAGTTCCCGCATCATCAAGAACAATAGGGAAGGCTTGAAGTTAATACAATAATCTAAACGGTTTTGTAATCAATGTGAGGACACTTCTAAAATTGCCTGTAGAAATATTGAAGGCAAAAGTTCAACTTTTTCACAAGACTGATGTCTATAAACCTATTCAACGTGTGACAACTCGGCCGGTATTTTGTGGCCTACAGCCCAGCTTTCCCTAGTGACCGATAGAGGCGCTGCTATCGATGTCCGCCCGTGCCGCCTAACGTAAATCTATATAATCAGTTGAACGTCAAAACAATTCACAGTTCATGCTAATCACGTCAGAGTTTGCTTCTGCCATCCAACGTTATATCTAGTCTTCAGCGTTAGCGCATGTTAAGTAGTTCATAGTGTATCAAATAATAGAGTGTAATTGATAATAAATAGCCATATAATCTAATAGTGTAATAATAAAATGATGTATTCATTACACTATGGGAACGTCGTATGTTGTGGATGCATGTAAATAAACACCATGCACGTCCGCGGTAAATTGTTGATGATGAGGAATTGGGGCATTTGATAAATGAATGCACACCTTTAGTTAATGCGCAGATGTGTCGTAAGCTGTAACAATACATGGAAAGCTTTTAAGATAAATGCACGCCATATTTTGCCGGCGTTCTTATACGAATCGATTGTTGAAGGTCAACAATGACATGGCCACTCACCGGCATCTATTCTAGTTGAATGTTGTAGAACTATTTTAGCATATGAATTTCATAATGTAAAGAAATTGCCTTTTAGATACATCTCATCCTATTTCCTGTTTGAAAGCGTGAGAGATTCAAACCCATATCCTTGAAGTACTTCATAAGATATTTGCAGACATCTTCAATGATTTTTTTTTCCATTACGGAATGTTTAGCTTTGGGTCCAGACTTCGCTGGATGCCTCACAATTTATAAGGCTTCACTCCTTGACAAAGTGTTTTCTGATAACGGTTGAACGGGCGCATTGCTCCAGACACTTAGGATCAATACTTTCTCCACCAATGAAGCCAGGAGATGCCCATGACTAGGAGTCCATCCATCGTTTCTTTCACGCTAAATACATGTTCGGCAAACATCCGTAAACGCTTCCGTCTAAGCCTAAGCTTCTGAAACCATAGCTTCTAACCCTCCAAAACCATAGCTGTTGTTTTGCCAACAACTGACACAGCTTGCTACATCTATGATGTTTTTTTTATTGACATCCGATGGTGATTATAGGATCAGAAGCACCGGACACGTTTTATCAAAGTTTGATTGAAGATCATTCGAACATCCGGTATGTTTCCTTTTTTGTGTTTGTAAGGCTATTGCGTTGCATGTAGTCACGCTGAAGAATTTGATGTCTATCACGATATTTGGGCTAATGTGATGCAATTGTATTGGACAATAATAATATCCATTGTCTAGTCTCCAGTGAGCATCGTTCACGCATGACAGACGAACAGACAGCCACTCAGTCATCTGGAAAAGAGCCTCTTTCAGAGGAGGTCAAATTTATATGTGATCTTTCCCTTGTGCAAAAAGAATTAGGTATTGGTCCTCTCCTCTTTTGAAGGAGGGATGATCCACATTTTGGCATAAACTGCACTTGGTTGAGTAGAATGTGTCCTGCCGCAAATAAAATTTCATTTTTTGACACCGCTCGTAATCGCTGTAGATGCAGACTATGTTCCGCAACTATCCCTTCTGACCCGACCCCTGTGACCTCTTACATAACCTCTGGTTTCCGGCAGCGCCTCCGGTCCCAGAGGTCACCATGCGACGCCCGCCGGCCGCGCCCGCCCCGGCTGAGCCAAGCATCGATCACATAACCAATAGCCAGGGTAAGCTAGGCACGTAATCGGCCATTTCCCCAGTGGCCCAGTCTGCCCGGCGACACTTTCACTGCGTCATGATTACGGGCTTCCGACAATCCCATCTGCTTATCTGGTCAGATAGCTAACTTATTTACGATGATATTACTAACGTAAAAACAACGTCACGTGGGATATCTACTCGTCAGTATCTACTTACGGAAAATATTCAGCACTGTTGGATATTGGTATGCTTATTCACACCCAATGGCAATATCGAAGCAAATATTATAAGCAACTAGACGTTTCGGCTATAGGGTTCCTTCTAGTGATGTCAGTTACAGAAAATCGGAATACCGATACCAAACCAAACACCAACCAAAACTGTGGAGAAATACCGAAGCCAAACCAACTTGGGAACATGAGGGAAATACCAACTTTTTACCGATTTCTTCGCCTCTTATACATAAGTGGGGGTTCATGATACCAACAAAATACCGAACACATTAGGATTGAAATACCAAATACCAAGTTGGTATCGGTTTGGTATCGGTATACCAAAAAGTCTGTATCCGATTGACATCTCTAGTTCCTTCGTCAGTGGCAAGACACTGTTACAATGCATTGCATTGCTGAGCAGCCTTGCTTACTCAGCTCCATCCGTAACAAGATGGAACTCGTCCACGTTCATAATCCTGCAGTTTAATTCAGTCTCGGTCCAGACAGTGCAGCTGTTTCCCTCGCCTCTATCTCACTGTTTAACACGCCTGAGGCGCGTGCCGCGATATGCCCTGGGGGTGTAATTTCTCGGAGCTGTGGCAAGGCGCCGCGTCGCTAGCGCGAGGGAGCAGTCAGCACATATGAGCGCTACTGTCACGGGGGACGCGACTGCTAATTGTGCGTGCGTGGAGTAGAGTTAGCCTAAATGGACTCTTGGAATGTAAACTGCTTGCTAGTTGAGGTCTTAATCTGCTAGAGAATAGGACAGTGTCGTGCCAACAGGATGTCGAGAAACCTTGTTACAATGAGGAATTTAGTTTGTAATGCAGGTTCAGACTTAAATCATAAAAACTTAGGTTGCGCTTTCCATAGTGCAGCGTTTATATGATTCGAAAAATATCATTATCAGTGTATTGTTAAATGTGACATAGGGTGGCACTCACCCTTTAGAGTGGCATGGAACGCTGCTCTGATAGCGCCTTGATATGTGATGTTTGGTAGAATTGGACCAAGTGTCTGTAAATACAAAGTTCTCTCTCTCTCTCTCTCTCTCTCTCTCTCTCTCTCTCTCTCTCTCTCTCTCTCTCTCTCTCTCTCTCTCTCTCTCTCTCTCTCTCTCTCTCTCTCTCTCTCTCTCTCTCTCTCTCTCTCTCTCTCTCTCTCTCTCTCTCTCTCTCTCTCTCTCTCTCTCTCTCTCTCTCTCTCTCTCTCTCTCTCTCTCTCTCTCTCTCTCTCTCTCTCTCTCTCTCTCTCTCTCTCTCTCTTTCTCTCTTTTTTTCTCTCTCTCTCTCTCTCTCTCTCTCTCTCTCTCTCTCTCTCATAGCAACTTATTATCAGTAACATTCAACGAATGTCTATGAAGCTGAAGGGTAAACAATAATTCAATCAAGCAATTTGTATCGATCTAGTTTCCGATAATTGCACTTTTTGTGAGTTAAGTAAATGGCCCGATTTGCCTTCAATAATTGGAGTTGATTTAACACATCGCTGAAAACATGTAATGTAAACGCAAGTAATTATTGATTAAGCACCACTTGTTGGAATGAGCGAGTCTCTTGACTTACATATTCAACTCATTACTGAGTACAAATGTACCCAGAATGATCCAGTTTTGCTCACTGCAAATGCGGCAAATTGCTGTTGAATGCTTATTTCATCTAATGCGCATGTTTTCCATTCCTGAATTACTGCGAAAAGTAATTCGAAACGAGAAAAAAACACCGCGCATCATTCACGTTGATACCTGAAACAACCAATCATTTCGGCTCGCCCTGGATTGCTGAACAAAATGACCTTAGTTCACATCACTAGGATATTCTCAGAAATATTTCTTCGGAGAGCTAATGAACTTTGAAGACTTGCGTTCAAACTGTTCGGTGAACCGCGAGAGAACCATTCGCCAGACAGAAGCAAAACTAAATTTGGCTCGTCTGTCTGGTGGAACCTCAACCACCAATAAATATAAATCGAACTAAGGTGAATTATTGGTTCCACAGTAGTTTCACGTTCTTTGTGCTTTTGCAAGATCATATTTTAAAATGAAAAGTTTTTTTATGGCCTCATCATCGTGATTTCAAAAGAAGTTTCGGCAAAACATGTTTACTATCAACGTTTCTTGATAAAGCTTTTTGAAGCTATGAAGATGAGGTCATAGAAAATTATCTGCACTACGGTAACATAACGTTTTTTCAATAATTCCCACTACGTGGCCATTTTCTGCGCTGACCTTGTCTTACCACCTGACAGCGGCGCCAGTGGCCTCGTGGGCCGAGCGACAGCGTAACCGGCAGTCCTGGACGAACTACAATACGGCGCCACGCGGCTGGGGCAACCAGGACCACTTCTACCGGCCCGTCACCTTCACTCAGCCGCTCATGACCCAGTGACGTCATTAGAGAGCAAATATGACGTCATTGGTGAGCGAGGGACTCGTCACAGGCCCGCGGTTAGGGTTGGAAACACGCTTGAAGTTACGCTGTGGAGTACATTTCGTGAGGTAATTTCGAGACAAGCGTGTGGACTGTGGAGTCGTGGACTGATTGTGTGAAGCGTGACTTCACTGGAGCTGAGCTGCTGTTCGGTCCTATGACGTCATTTGGCCGAGGCGGCACGCGGGACATTGTGACCGTCCGCGATTTGTTGGCCCGCGGCGCTGGCTTGACGGCTGGTTGTTTTTCTGTCCGATCCGTTTACGCCATCTGTGAGGTCTGCGCAGTTAAGAGGATTTGCTGGGACTGAGCCGCCGTGCTCCGCACTGACAACGGATGGGCTCTTTGGTGTATGATTTGTGCTGGCATTAGCGTAACTGGCGTGAAGCGTATTTGAATGTCAATCCCGCGTGTGGTCCCTGTTGAAGATAGGATTTAGTAGTGTGGCGAAATTAATGCCCATTTGCGACACCCTACCATCCATTAGGTGTATGTAGCTCGTTTGGTGGGCTTGCCACTGGCACTGCTTTTGGTCGACTTTTACCTTTTCTGCCACTTCAAGAATATACTGTATGATGTAATGGCCTACTTGCAAGGCTAGTCATTTACGAAGGATTGTTCTGAATTAGAGGCGTGGTGGGGTGGCGTTTTTCAATAAAACGAAACTTGATTGTCAGTGTATGGGTCTACAATAAGTGAAGAATACGCAAGATAATGATACAAAGCCTTATAGTGCGTCAAGACTGTCACCGAATGACACTCAGTGAAGTACTTCGTAACTTCAACATTAAAAATCGCAAAGACAGTGCATCAATATCCTGTCAATTTGTAAGGGAAGCGAGTCGCCTTGCACGTCTGGCACTAACCTAGCCTAAAACATTTGGTTAACGTTTGGAATCTTCTTTGTAGAGAAGACCGTGTACAATGAGGGAAGCCCTCTCCTCGCAGTATCAGATACTGATAAAACAGCTACTAGATGGCGCTAGCAGTAGGTGCCTGAAATGATACTGCGCTGCAATACTCTGCACTAGCGACATCTATAAATACACTGCTTAAAAGACTCTTCACTAGATGGCGGAGGTATCACACGCCTGTAGCTATGCCTTGCCGCATGGCATGACGCGGCCGCTCGCTCGCGAGCGGGCAGGCAACCCTTCGTCACCTCTCCCCCAGCTTGACTTATTCGGAATTGGGCTCACCCATGTCAGTTGTATTCCTTAGTGCTGTTCGGTGTGTTTTTATCAACACGCTGCCGGCTTTCCATACCTATATGGAAGTTTCGTGCTGGCGTTTCTCGGCCTCTCATTGGGGGGCCTCACAGACCAGGGAGCTGGTGGTCTGTAAATAAAAACGCCGGACGAAAAGCGCCCTTGTTTCGTTTTTTTTTTTGCTCAAGCAAACCATGTTGTACGACTTTGGGAGGTGCCGTTCGGTTGGAAATGATGCTAAAAATATCACAGTTTCGTAAATTCATTTCATTCCTGAATGATTATTATCCCTCGCCCGCACATGCCATTTTCCCATCCTAGAACGCACATGGGGGGGGGGGGGGTGGTTGCCAGTGGCGGCGGAATAGGGGGTGCAGGGGGTGCAGCTGCACCCCCATCGAAAAACATGGGGGTGCAAACATATCTTTTTGCACCCGCAAAATCCGTACAAGGGGCCCGTCGCACCATCCAATACATTTTCTCCTGAAAACCAGTGATCGGGAAACGAACACTGATATCCGGGATGTCCAATTATGGTTAGGAGCGCCCCATGCTAGTCTTTGGGGCCCCCACACCGGCTAGAAGTGTCCCAAGCCGCGTTTGGTGCTCCATGCGGCATCTGAGGGCCCCACGACGGCCTCAGAGGGCCCTTTTATGACGATCTCTGAGGGCTCCCACGACCACCTGTCCCTTGGGGCCCTACAACGGCCACTAAGGGCCCTTATGACGACCGCTGAGGGTCCCACAGAGACTCCAGGGCCCCAAGGAGACTCCAGGGGCCACGCTGGGGCCCCTATGACGGCCTCTGAGGGCCCTTACGATGATCTCTGAGGGCTCTCACGGCGACCTCTGTCCCCTGGGGCTCTGTAACGACCACTAAGGGCCCTCATGACGACCGCTGAGGGTCCCACAGGACTCCAGGGGCCCGCTGGCCTCTGAGGGCCTCTACGACGGTCTCTAAGGCCCTCGTGACGGTCCTAGACCCAACTGAAGTCCGAGGGCCCATTTGGCTTCAGACGGCCCAGCGACGGCCTCTGAGGGCCCAACACAACCAGGCTGCTGGCATCTGAGGGCCCTGCAACGGTCTATTGAGGACCCTAACGATGGCCTCTAGCGGTCTTACCAAGGCCTCTGAGAGCCCTGCAAAGGTATCTGAGGGCCCATGAAGACCCTCACTATGGCCAAGGACCCTCATGACGACCTCTGATGATCCTCTCGAAGGCTTCTAAGGGCCCTCACAACAACTTCTGAGGACCCCAGGACGGTCCCTGAGGGGCTGAGGGCCCTGACGACGACCTCTGTGGGCCCTCACGATGGTCTTTAAGACCCAACGCAAGCTCCAAAGGCCCACGCTGGCGTCTGAGGGCCCCACGGCGGCCTCTGAGGGCCTCGATGCAGGCAGGCTCCAGGGGCCATGCTGACCTCTGACTTCTGAGAGCTCTCTTGACGGCTTCTAGGGCCTAACGTAGGCTTCAAGGGCCAACGCTGGCCTCTGAAGAACCCTACGACGGCCTCGAAGGGTCTCAACTCAACGCAGGCAGGTACCAGGTGACATGCTAGCCTCTGAGGGCCCCGCAGAGTTCAGATTCAGAGGACCCAACGACCTTTGTGGACCTTACGAAATACGAAGGTCTCTGAGAGCTCACGTAGGCTCCTGGAATTCCACACTGATTCTCAGTCTCCATGTCGGCTTGTTGAGGCACTTTATCTGCTCTTGGTGCCCCATCGCCGGCCTCTGAGTCTCAATGTCGGAACTTATGGGGCCATGGGCCCTACACCGGCTTTTATGGCCCCTACATCGACTCTTGGGACTCATGACCCGTGAAATGTGGGTCTAAGCGGCTTCTAAGAATCCCCATGCTGGTTCTAGTAGCCGCCAGCCGAATATCTGGGCTCACACGCGAGCTCCTGGGACCCCGTGCATACTCCAGGGGTCTACCTGCCTCTAAGACCCCACGCATACTTTTGAGGCTTAAACGCTTGCCCCTGAAGGCCCCACTGAGACCCCTTTCCTCTATTCAGTTCTCCATACCGTCTCTTTAGGCTAAACATCGGCTCATGTGGCCTCCATCCCGGCTTTGGAGGGCCTCCATACAGGTTTTTTGGGGGTCCGATGCCGGTTTCTGAGAGCCCTCAAAAGACTTTCGAGCCTATACTGCCTTCTGAAACCTTTCAGCAACTTTTAAGGGACCGACCCTGATCAGAGGGCTCATTCAGTCTGGGGAGTCATGTAGGTCTCTGGAGGAGTCCCTATGTGGTCGGTTTCAATTCCAAGGGGCTTCTAAACACGGTCAATTCTTGGAACGGTCTCGTAGGGCCCTCAATGGTCCACTGCGGATCCAGAAAAGTGGTTTGAGACGCTGCGGGTGGTGGCTAGACTAAAAGATTAGCCGATAAAAACTAGCTGCATTTGTTTCTTTATGCTTTCATTATTTGAGATAGGTAGGTACACTGCAATTTCAAACCTTTTGCAGAACTTGTGTGTATGGGGATAGTTTTCCAAAATCTTCGTTTTTCATAAATCAATAATAATCACTCAAAAAAAAAATGAAGGGGGGCCCAAACTTCCAGAGGGGCCCTTCGAGAAAACTTTGCACCCCCATCCAAAATTACCTTCCGCCGCCACTGGTGGTTGCCACCCCCCCCGCGCCATTTCGTTCCTGTTGGAGATAGAGCTTAGCGGTAAAGACCAAAAAGATTCTTTGGGAAGAGACGAATCCAATGATACCCAGTTTTACCTTCTCAGGTCAGTCATTGACCTTCCAGGTCAGGTCAAACTAAAAAATGTTGCTGTTTTGGGTCACTGTTGGATATCAAGTGCGCTGCTTATCATATACCGATAACGATGCCGTTTTCTGGTGCCAAGCCAGCTAGAACCTCTTTCTCACACTACCCGACCAGGTTTTTGCTGCTGAGGTCATTTCAGGTCAAGTTAGGTCAAGGTCAATTATATGTGTTTGTATGTCTGTGTGTGTCTGTGTGTATACTGATGTGTGCACCGATTGTTTATGTGTCCATATTACATGAAATCATGATCTGAGAAGCTTTTACCAAAAATGCAGTCAAAAAACTCCACAAAAAGTAAATTCCGCTTGCCTAAAACGCAATTATCTTAGATGACCTAGGTTGACCTTGACCTTGACCTTGACATCTGTACATCGTCGAACAACATGTTCCATGATCGGTGGGAGGTAAGACTGGTAAAAAAGGCCGAAATCAAGGTGTCAAAAGCCCACAAGGCCCATAGCCAACGCAAGATGTCGAGAATTGGCCATTTGGGTCATGACATGACCTGAAAAACAAGGTCATATCTCCGAAACCAAAGGTCACAGAAACTTGAAATTTTCAGTGGACATCAAGAAAGGATAGAGGAGCAGCTATACGAAAAATCAGCCTTCTAGCTCTAAAAATGTTGAGTGCAGAGCACAAAGACTACCTGGGGGGGGTGGCAACCACCCCCCCCCATGTGCGGGCGAGGGTTATAGCCGTGTTGCGTCCAATAGGATGTTCAATCAGCCCCCAAAACTTTTCCCGGTGATAAACACTTTTGGCTCGCAGCATTCCAGCGTCATATCTGTAGTAACTTATCATTTCCACGCTACTATCGGCGCCCAGCGGCCAACCTTCTTCCCGGCAATTACAAACGATCCAGACAAATGGTGTATTTGAACCCGGCGGCAGCAGAACTGGTGGGTCGGGCTCGGGGCAGCGCCGCCACGAGCCAGCTCCAACGCGGAAAGCACACGGAAACACCTCCTGTCCAGTCGGGCGGCGCACAACACGGAATAAGCCCACAAAAAGAGAGATGTGAGCTGGAGCAGCGCTACATTTGTCGGAGATTCCTGCGGGCGCTATCTGAAGGTGCCCGACGCGACACTACATCGAACACAAAGACATGTAGCTGGCGACAAATGTCATCGTTCACACTAACTTATCATGTTCCTGAAATATATCATCCAATGGCCCTCGATAGCTTGCAGCATATTCAGTAGCAACTTTCGATAGAGATATTCACCTTTAACAGTTTTCCTTACGCTTATTAAGAAAGCTCACAGGGCATCCCGTAACATTATTTTTTTCGGCCGTCGAGAGTGGCATAATCTAAGCACCAATTAAAAATACAAATTTTCATCTTTTTTAGCAAGATTTAAATGGTGTAGGTGGGGAATATCAAGCTAAATTTCATCATGCAACGCTCTGGTATGTTGTTGCTGGTAGGGCTGGGCTTTTCCAGACTTGCGCTTATCACACAAATAGCTTTATCGTGTAAGAAAAGTCATTTTTAGATAAACAATACTATGAATGGAGAAGAAAATTGACCATAAGTGGATAGTACTGTCTACTAAATGCTCGTAACATAAAATTTCGTCGAGTTGCAATTCACATAAAATTGAAAAAGTAAAGGCTTTGGTGCTACGACTTATACCGTTCTCGATAGCAGTTACGTATCTGTATTATAAAAGGAGCCATTGATCTCAACAGGTTTAGCCAGAATAACGTCACCATAGCCAACAACCCGCTCAAGCTTATGGAATTCGATAGTCTACTATTGCATTGTGACAATGAACTTTTTTGATATATGCTCACTGCAATAATGACTGAAGTATCTCATACGGAACTATTTGAGCCATTATTAGCCAGAAACTAATTAATTTCATCCTAACACGAGTTCTCCAGATGCTGCCAAAAATACTTCTCTAAATCTATACAATACACATAGATCATGACAAAAATAACACAATCCTATTCACAGCAGCGAATTTTAGAAATAGATAGCGTCATAAATTATAATGACGTATATCACATTTCAGATTAAGTTCTTGATCGCATTACCATCTTATCCATACACAATGTCAGTGACTAAAGGTACAATGATATACATAAAAGATGGGACATATTCACCAAAACACAAAAAAAAAACACATATCTACACCACGAAGCATACCGACCAATCACATATATCTATCTGTGGCAGATTTCAACTTGATACTGTGATTCAAAAATACTAAATGTACATATGTACAATAAGCGAGCTATGCAGAGCAAAAATTGCACATACGTTTGGCGAAAAGCCTGGGTCCGGCCCGTTTCTCTCTCAACTACCAGGTACTCGTTTTCGCTGCACCGAAATGTTGATCGTTAACAACCTACATATTCCAGTTATACGACAAATAAGCCAAGTACTTGACATCTACAGGCCAACAAGACGAGATTCATAACCCTCTCATACGCGCAAAAATATGGCCAAAAGTCCAACCACACAATTCGAACAATACACACGCTGAAATGACCTATTCAGTATTCACATTTACCATTGATCACTCAAAACCAGCCTGGCACCACAACTGCTATGTGAGACAAAATGCATGCTGATGAAAAAAGAAAACATAAATGCGCCTCTGTTCTAAAAAAAAAACTACAAATGATTTCATCCGAGGAAACATTGGATTCAGCTTCGATGGATACGAGACTCGAATCGGCGAGACTCGAGCTCCATCGCTACGCATCACTACACAGCGTCATATCTCGTCACATGCGCTACGATTGTCATCTCCAGCACAGCACCATCGGATCAGCGAGTCTTTACCCAACGGCTATCATACATCGCCATGACAGCGTTCCTTCGTTTCCGCTCTGCGCCAATCACTTATTATCAGTGTCGTTTAAAGAGCAGCAGGTCACGCCTGTCACTGCGTAGTATCCGACGGCCGACTCCGAGCTCAAATGACGTCAGTGATGACGTCAGAGGCCCCAAATAGCGGCGGCTAAATGTTCTGCGAGATGTGGTCTTGCGTGACCAACCGGCGACTGTTGCACTCACTTAGATGCTCAGGCTAAACGAGGTCGTCTGTTGAGCGGCGCTGATTTTTGCGACGCACATCAACCGGTCAAGGGAAGCGATGAAAGAAAAGAAACGACGCCATTGTGACGTCATAATGGCGTCATGGTGGCGGTCGAGCGGCGGCTCAGACCCGGGTGACAGTGGTGTTTTTGGCCAGCAGAGGATCGACCGTGGCGAGAAGCTCCGGCATCTTTTCCGAACCACCGTCTGGAAGAAAAGCGACGGTAAAGCTCAGTTCAGGTGACGCTCATATGTAAATACCTGACAATGCAGGCATGCATTCGGGTTACACAGGGGTTGCTGAATGTGTGAAACGCAGTAAAAAAAAAATAACATTTAGATGTTGCAGACTCAGAGTGCTGATGAAAAATAAATCATACATACAAGGCACGAGTTGAGCATGCTAAGCACAAGTAAAGAGGTAAAGCAGGCATGACAGCCAATGTCTTTTATCTACCCACCTCTAGTAGAAAATTCTTAATAAAATTAAAAAGTTGTGCAGGGATGTAGTGTTTATATTCCATGCATATGCAGGCTGCAAACGCTTTAGTTTCTTATTTAACATCAGCCTAATTTGAACAATGGCATGTTTTGGGCACCGAGAGGAACAGGCTTCAATTAAATGTCCACCATATAAAGCTATCTGTCGAAAAGATTATCATGCTGTTTCATATCAGCCGTCCAATGTTGACGAATTAGCCAGACTTTGATGTTGTTACTTATTTGTACCAAACTTGTTTGATCTCTCCCTGGTGTGCCGCGCCACAATGACCATGATTACACTGATTCGATCTTTTGAAGTTTTGTCATTTTCCGAGCTGCAGAAGTCAGAATTGAGTTTAGAGCCTCGAATTTAGATCTTGGCGTCAGTCTAATGAGACAATAGTCGCGCTTCCTAAGTGAGCTAGTACCTACTTGTTTCGTGCTTATCTATGGTGAGCAGTAAAGTTGTATTCGTCGGTTTGGGATAAACTAAAGTTGCATTTGACGATTGCAGCATTGACAAAAGCTCTTCACGTACAAGAAATGCCACATTTTACGTTGTTTGGTTTGCTAAAGATAAACTTTTCTGCTAATGTATCTGTATTGCTGGACAGAACAACTTATGAAAACAAATGACTATTGACATATGCCGTGTCACTCCTAAACTTTTCATCATAAAACACTTTAAAGTCCAGCTGTTAGAACCACTCCGAGTGATCAAAAGGTCAAGCTCACACCCAACACACATATACTATCAAAAACTTTGCGTCACACTCAATTTGTGTCTGTTAAGTAGTTGAAATGCTCATCCTATCTCACGTTGCAGAAGCAAGATAAGGTGACTGCCCCCGACAAAACACTTAACAACTCTGGCTCAAAGCCAGAAAAGGGTGGAGCATTATCAAACATTTCCACGCCTCTAGAATCAGTTTCGCTAGCTCTGAAATGGCCAGTGTTTGGAAAGCAGCGCGGCTTTTGCGACAATAATAGAGCGTGCTAAGTGAAGGAACGTGTCATATCTTTCAGCCAACATAGACGAAAGGTTTCAAGTTGGTTTCAACTATAATAGACTGTCAAAGAATGAATACAAGTAGCTGACAAGGGATAATGTTTTTTGCTTTATATCGGCTTTTGGCAGTCGCTTTTTTCTTTTTAAACGATTTTGTATTTGACGTATCTTTTTCACGTAAGTGTTGTTTGAACATGACATTTTAACTCAAGATAACGAATGATGACTAAGTTGATTGGTAGTTGTCAGATTTATGCGAGGCCCAAGTACCTGCTTACTTCCTCGTTAGCACATTGGTTTGTTTACTTCTATCAACTTCTATTTACTTCATCGATGATACAAATACTTGATAGTTACAATTTTCAGCTCAGGATCCAACGCACAACCATATCCAGCAAACACTACATGCAGACATGCACGTCCAAAAATTTCCGCAATGCATATGTGCTCGTGCCAGTTATCACTTTCAGCCAAAGCTGGAGCTCAAGAGACGGCAAGATTATTTGAGCTAGACAAATTGCTAACGTCTCCCACAGTTGGCTAACGTAAAGCGTTGCACATTGCGCATGATAAATAACGCACAAAGTTTTCCATACGCTATTTAATGGTGGCTGGATTTACGTGGAATATACTGTGATATTTATCCAAACTAGCAGAGCATTAACTTACGTCAGCTGTGCCAATACTTTCGGGGCAGCTGGTGTTCATTTTAAGAACTGACGCTTGAATTGGAAAAAGTCGTAAATGAAAAGCTGCTTCCAGTGAAAACGAAACAATTATGTTTGGTATTAAGCAGAGCAGCTTAGATTCCAAGTACGGTGCATATCTAACTTGAGCTTGTGCATAACACGGTATAAGCTAAAAATTAGTCAGTCAAGCACAACCAACTGAAACGACACCAAAGAAAATGTCAGACAAGAGTTAACCTCACGAGCTTCTAGCTACGACAGGACGAGCAAGTGTTATTGGAAGAGCGTTAGTGCGTGCTATGCGCTGGTGCGGATTAATGTCTAAGCGGTGCTAGCAGGCTGTTATACGCTCCCCAGCCACTCGACCGCCCATTCAAGCTCAAGCGCTCGCTCCAGAACGCGAGCGGCGGACGGAGGCTGTGGGTGGTGGCAAGCGGCGGGGGCGGGGGAGGCGGCGGCGGCTTGGGCGGCTCACCGGCCGATGGCGTCAGTCCAGTAATGTTTGTTGACGGCTGACTGACTGAATCCTCTCGATCGCAAGTCCCTACCGAGCGAGCACCATTGCCGGTCAGCCGCGAGCCAGGCCAAAAAAGGGCAAAAACACCGAAAACTGCTCCAAAAGGAGTTCCAACCGCCGCCAAAAGGCGGTTTGGGCGAAAAATGAGCAGGCTGTTTTGAAAATTACATTTATTCACCGGCTAACGCAGCCTTAGCTCACAAAGCACTACACCGTGTACAAACAGGCTACAACCGAAGCATGCTAGAACTACACTTTACTTCAGCATATGGAGCGGGACAATAACGCTTAAGCATTATCCTGCAAACCTTATTTACAAAGTAAATAATAATACAATAGCTACGGAGTAACGGTTAACTTGGATTGGATGCGCACGCTGGAGGCAATTGCAAAAATACATTATTTCTGGAAATTGGACTTGAAGCTAACTAAACGCACCATAAGACATGAAAACAAAGATACTAATAATGAAACGCAAAAAAAATGATGACAACCCTCGAGAATGTAAGAAATACTTCAATAAGCAGCGATAAAAATGAAGGAAAGAAAAAGGAGGGGATAGGCTAATGAAATAGGATAGGCATGAAAATGGAATATTAATTCAGAAAGGACAGTGGAGGCATAGGTGCACTGCAATATGCCTATAATAGGAATGTTTCGATTTATCCCACCAGTCATAGATTTGGTTGGGAAAATAAAAACTAAGCGAAAAGAAAAACAACAAAAATGTATCTGGCAATGCACCATTGCAAGCTATAAAACTCACCTGAACAGCAGCACAGTCTTTTGCAGGTCTTTCCAAAGGTGTCCTGTGAGACAGAAAAGGCAAAGCATGTTACTAAACATAGAATGTACTCAAGAACAATGAAGATATCAGGTTACATCTGACCATCGTTCATAAATGTGAAAAATTGGTTCCATGGCTGTTTCTAGACTTAGATACTGATCAGTAGTAAAGAATGCAGTACGAATCTGAAAACCATCGATAGGAAGGTCATCTTCAAACTGAAAGTTGTTAAGTACGACCAAGTGGAGAGGTATTTTATTTGTTGACAATGCCGGACAAAACAGACGAGAAAAGAATTGCGAGTGGTTGTACACGAAAAGAAAAAAACAGAGAAGGATAAAAAAGGAAGAAGAAAAAGTGACAAGGTTGAGAAAAGAAAGCAAGAGATAAAGAGCGAGAGAGCGAGAGAGCGAGAGAGAGAGAGAGAGAGAGAGAGAGAGAGAGAGAGAGAGAGAGAGAGAGAGAGAGAGAGAGAGAGAGAGAGAGAGAGAGAGAGCACTGCGAAGTGGCATTTCCCCTTACGTATGGCTATTTTAATTGAACTTAGTTAGGGCGGCCGTTTTCGTTGATTGGAAACAGTGGCGCAGCCAGGGGGGGGGGGGTCAGAGGGTCAGCTGACCCCCCCGAAATTTCTGTCAGGGGCCCGCTCGAGAGAGAGAGAGTGAGAGAGAGAGAGAGAGAGAGAGAGAGAGAGAGAGAGAGAGAGAGAGAGAGAGAGGAGAGAGAGAGAGGTCCTAATCTAATCGGACGAGCCCGCTTCGAGAAATGCCCACTGCGACACCTCGGGTGAGGGGTCGGCCTGGGGCCCCAGGTGGACAGGGCCCGGGCCCCCAGGAGAACGGGCCCGGCCCCCTGGGTGGATGGGACCCGGGCCCCCTGTAGATGGGTCCGGGCCCCCGGGTGGATAGGGCCCGGGCCCCCCGGCGGATGGGGCCCCGGTGGATGGATCCGAGCCACCGGGAGAACGGGCCCCGGGTGGACGGGGCCCGGACCCCCGGGTCCCGCGAGAACGGGTCCAGGCCCCTCGGGTGGATGGGGCCCGAGGCTCCGGGAGAGCGGGCCCGGGCCCCCTGGGTGGAGGGGGCCCGGGCCCCCGGCTGGATGGGGCCCGGGCCCCCGGGAGAACGGCCCTGAGCCCCGGGTGGACGGGGCCGGACCCCCGGTTGGATGGGGCCCGGGCCCCGGGAGAACGGGCCCGGGCCCCCTGGGTGGATAGGGCACGGGCCCCTGGGTGGATAGGGCACAGGCCCCCGGGTGGATGGGGCCCGGGCCCCGGGAGAACGGGCCCGGGCCCCTTAGGTGGATGGGGCACGGCCCCCCGGGTAGATGGGGCCAGGGCCCCCCGATGGATGGGTCCGGGCCCCCGGGAGTACGGACCCCAGGCCCCGGGTGGACGGGGCCCGGGCCCCCGGCTGGATGGGGCCCGGGCCCCCTGGTGGGCGGGCCCCGGAGCCCCGGGTGGACGAGGCCCGGAGCCCAGGTGAACGTGGCCCGGGCCCCCGTATGGATAGGGCTTGGTCCCCCATGTGGATAGGGCCCGAGCCCCCGGGTGAATGGGGCCCGCTAGGGTGACCCGCTTGCTTCGCAACGCGAATAAGGGGTATTTTCGATCGGTGGGCGTTTGGTTGGTCTTGTGTCTGTGGGTTATGTATCCATTACGGTCGATTGCCTTTTGACGGCTAAGCATTTTGGTTTTGGGAAAAATATCCATCGCATCGAGGTGCTCGTGTCTGATAATAACCATGCGTTCTACTATAGAACATGCCAAGTGTATTTCATGACATAGGTTGGCGTAGGTTATTGAAGAGTGAAAGCCATCGATGAATTACTATGTGTAGAGGTTTGAAACATTTATATTCTTAAGAATATTGTTGCTCGTCATGCAAAAGCGATGATTGGACCTTGGTCACAATTGAATGCTCTTCCAATCTATGCCCATTTCAATTGTCAAACATACCAGGTTATGTAGCAAAACCCCTGTAATTAAGTAAGTCATAAGCAAATGCTATTTTCTCCAGCAATTTGTTCCACCTTGTTTTTGATCAATTAGCTTTTCACAATTTTCCCATGAGAGGCGGTAGGTACATTTCTCTTGCCAACAAGCGTTGTTTGAACCCGCTCCGTCTGACAGTCACCCAAAAATAGCATTAAGTCCAAAATCCGTCCAAAACGTCAATTTTTCAAGCATAAGTGCCCTCACGGGTGCACGTGGCGCGTGCCATCCCTGCACCGCACACAATTCGATAGCCCGTTCGATTCTCATGCACGATACTATGTTCCTCGTGCCGATCGGACCCACGGTTACCGAGATACTGCACGGGGACCGGACCCGTGTCGGGCAAGTTGAGCCATTGTCGCCCATTTTTGCAAGCCGATTTATGCATGTAAAGTCTATGACGCGAATTTGCACTTTTTGAGCACGCGCCATGTGCTCACCACCGGCCCGATCGAGCTGTGACTCTTCACAGGCACGTTACCCATCCTTGTTCTATAAGTTGCGCGAATTTCAGCGCACTATGGAAGTTACGTCGCGATCAGCCGCTTTTTTACGCGAGTTCTTCGCGAAAAAAACCTTAGGGGGTTGCATCAACCCCTCCCCCCTGTGCCGGCGAGGGTTAAAACTTCTTACGAGCGAATTCACGTAATGAAGAAGAATAAAAGCACAATCTACTACAGCAGCCAATAGATGACTTAGGACAGGCACATGGGACTACTTTTAAATCTTGTGCGACAGAAGCAGGCAACAGTTCCGATTGCATATAATATGCTATGCATATTGCGGAATTGGGGCTCATATCGGACTCGAAAGATACGAAGTCATACGTCATAGTAACATATTTCTGTCGTGGTCAATTTGCGTAAAAAGTGAAGACCGGGTGATTACCGAGCTACTGTTCTATGCAAATTTTCTGATTCAAACTCGCTCAGGGTTATCGTGCAGGTAAAGGGGGCCCGCCCAGCAGAATGCGTATGAAATATGGAGAGATTCTGAAAAATGGGTGGGGGCCCGCACACTAGGGGGCCCGCTTTGGAAGCGATGACCCCTCCGAAACGAAATCCTGGCTGCGCCACTGATTGGAAATATTCCGCCAGCGGACTTTATGCCATTCCGTGACTTATTAAATACTGACTGCCAGTTTCATAAGCAGTCGTTTGAATCAAAACATTCGCAACTAAATATAACGCAGTCACGGCCGAAGCAGACTCTTTCGGCAGCCAGGAAACTGCGTGCGAGAGCCTATTTAAAGTTCGCATCAATCGTACACTGGGAGGTGCGTGATGGGAGCGTGATTTAATGCATTTGAATAGACTATCGCATGCAATATCCTGACAGCGGAAAGAGTCAATGGAATCAAAAGGCCTTGTTCCGGTTGGTATGCAATTGGCTCTAAATCATCTACTCACGTTGCCTTTGAAAAACTATTTGAATATTCGCAGCATGTTGGTGCTAATAACACATACAACAAATTTTGTCATCGGTTTAGCACTGCAGAGGATCATAGAAGATTGTCATACAATTAGTCGGGTGTCCATAAGCCCAACACTAGTATGGGTATCATTTATAATACAAAGAATGATTTAAAAAAGGAAACAATTTATCAACGCATCATTAATTTCATCTACTTCCGACTTAAGGTTTCAATCTATAACCACTTTTCAATGAAAAGCTTGATGCGTCATGTGTGCCCCTGATCACGTCTCCCCCTCCCTCCTAGCCTGGGCACGTTTCTGCAAGGGGGAATGAGTTGAGTGCACTTGGCTCCTCGCAACGTGGCTTGTTGCCAAAACGCTTGACATTGGCAAACGTCGGTACTTAATCTCTGTCAGCAAACCGTTTTACTTTAATCACGGACAGACTCGCGCAGATATGCGCTATCACCGGCCGCGAGTTAATGAAATCAGTTCATTATTTTTATTTTACAATATTATTATGTTTATGTACAAACAGCACGCCAACTTATTAACCCGCGCCCCACTTGAGTCTGTGTATAACACGCCCTACTGGGGGGGGGGGGCTATTCATAGCCCCCCCTCCTAACTCCGAAACTACTGGGCCGATCGTCAAAATTCAAACGGCGTCTGATAGCCCCGGAAAAACTGTCGAGCGAAACCTAATTTCATTGACCTCGAGGTCACCGATGACGTCACAGGTCAGGTCAAAGTAAAAATTATTAGCACTTTGGCTTGTTCACATTTTGGGCTCTGGCCGCCGCCTTACCAGTCAGATCAGGCTCATTTTTGGTTTCCACACTCGTGAACAGATGCTCTAGATACCTTAAGGGTACCAAACTTGTACCTTGATTTTCAGGTCAGGGTCAGGTCATCACAGGTCACGAAAATATTATATCATGCGTCGGTCACGTGACACATGTTTTATGGTCCATTTAGGCCATAGATTTCGAATTTGATGTCGTCTGTGTCATTCGAGGTCATTTTGAGTCGAATTTAGCTTAGGTCAGGTCACTTTCAGGTCAAAAAAGGTCAAATTTTGAAGTTAAAATTTTTCAACAAAAAAGGTGTCTATTGGATGCAGTTTGAGCTCAGGAACACGATGGTGCCATTTATATTGGTGTACGATGTCAAATACGTACTGAAAAATTGATTTGAAAAATTGATAATTGTGAATTTTTTGCAATAATGCGTATAACTTGGCCATTTTTGAAGATATTTGGCTAAAACTTGCTAGAGTTAGTCATAATAATGCGTTCTGTCACATATATTCCGGTTTTTTCGAAAAACCAAAAACTTTTTGAAAAAAAATAAAAAAATATAAATTTTGAATATTATTATATACAATTTTCGATATTTTCAAAAATTTGAAAATCCGAGATAGCAGTTTGATAGCGCGGTCAATTCTAAGTCCTTTCATGCAAAAAAATTGGATCTAGCTTAAAAACTGAGCTCTTGGGAGCGATTGCCGTGGTTCAATGTTTTGCGTCGAAATCGGACGAACATAACGTCACTCTGACGTCATTTCCGGCCGACCTATGGTAGCTACGAAGTTCAAATTTTGGCACAAGGTGTCAAATTGATGCAGCCGAAGGTACTGAAAGTTTGGCGTCGATCCGTCAAGCGGTTTGGAAGTTATCGCAGAAAAACGGGAGGGGGGCTATAAATAGCCCCCCCCCAGTGGGGCGCGGGTTAACAAGATTGCCCAAGCTTGCATGGAACTAAACATAAAGTGTCTAATTGCTTCGCCTAACAGCAGCTATCAAACATTGTTTTTCTCGCGTAAGCCCGTTTACAAATATATGTAGAAGCAATTGTCAATGACCTTAGTCAATGCCAGACAATACCTTTGTCACACACTTTTGGCACTTTTGGCGATGCAGGCCCGTTTAGAAAGCTAAACGGGCCTGCATCGCCACTTCCCTGCTGGCATTTACAAGCGAACTTGTAATTATTTCTGTAATACTGCATTTCTATCAGCTGGCATCAACCCTGGACCGATATCGGTGCAGTTATTCGCCGAGGATTAGCAGGTAGCTTTCGAAACAATTTGTCTGTTGCCATGACGACGTTCGAAAAGCACGCTGCTGATTTGCCGGCAGGTGTTCGCGGTGTGACCGCTAATACAATTGAACAGACAATTGAACAGCGCACCAATTTATGTTCCGCGCCATATATTTTTTTAAATAGATTTAGTCCAAACCTTTTTGATTGGAAGGATTCACAAGGACAGAGCCACCGCTAAGCGAAGCTTGTTGGGTTGACCCTGACCTCTACCCTCCGGTCGCGCAATCCCAGTTCTATCCTCTTGGTTCTTTTTGTATACTGGGGTATACATCGTCTTAAGTCGATCTCTACGGAATTCACTAATGGCTAGGCTATTTCATGGCCATGCGTTGCATTCTTCATGCCATGGTCCGCCACCTGGTGGCTGAATTTATATCCTCAAGTTGAATTTGTTGACGCCTCAGCGCTTCAATCTTCCCGGTATCTCGGTGGTCGCAGCATAGAGGTACGTCTCCTAATTATTTTCCTGTTATTTCTTTTTAAGAGTATGACTCATTGAAAACTGTTGTTTTGCTAACACAACCATTCGTTGTTGATCATTGCCTGCAGGTTTTGTAAACAAAATTGTGTGTTTGAAACTTTGCCAGAAAGAATTAAAGTTCATGTATACTAAGGTATACTAATGTCCTTGGTCCGAAAAATTTTGAGACGTGCTTAAGAAGTAGCACTACAATTATTGGGAGGAATTGGCCTCTGAAAAAATATATGTACACCCGAGTGACCAATGGGATCCTGCACGACGGAGAAATGTAAACGTCAGCATACAACGGACTGTGCCTAGGACTAGTCATGTATACTGTAGTATACATGGTCGCTGTGTTAGTTAAAGCCATTTTTTGTGGCTCACATACAACATTATGCCTTCAAGTAGCTCTGTAGTTGAGCGTTGACATTCTTCGAATCGTTGGTGACCTCAATGACCGTAGATCCTCACTCAAAGTTTGATAAATCGCCCGATGAATTAGAATCCGACCCCTAAGCACAATGACGTAGGCAAGCACCTCCCTAAAACACACCGTACGGCGATTTTTTTTAGAGATGTCGCTTCAGATAATGCTGCAAGGTCTTCCTCTACTGCTTATCGATTCGCAACAAGTGCTACAAGTTCCATATCTTCAAAGGAAATTGCAACTAAAGACCTAAGAGCAGTGGGCAATGGGCAGAAGAAGCGGAAGTTAAGGGCGAGCGGTGTTGATAATTAAACGTGACAATACTATTAGCCATTTTACGCCCTAAACAAACGAAAAAATACACTTCGGTGATTGTATGGAAGTTTTCATGGATTGCATTTCAGTCATATTTTATAGGCTTTGAGTATTTTTGTATATCACAGTATACATGTCATTGCGCATGCGCGATGACCTTCATGGCTGAAATGTCACCAATATGGTCATTATTAGCACCAAAGCTCTCAGCCAAAAAAGTTTCGTTGCTCTCCATTCATGTGCTGCTTGGCGGGACTCAAGAGGCTATGGCAGAATTTGGAGTCCAAAGTTTAACGTGCGCACATAGCCACGCACGGCCGGTCCCCTCACTGACTTCGCCTGGCTACGGCCTGCCACCAACCGCAACTTTACCTGTCAGGAGGCCCATAAACGTCAAGCGTCCGTCGCGCTTCGAACCCGGACTGTTATAACCGGGAACGCGTGCTCTCACCACGTGGAGTCAAACGCTCTACCGACTGAGCTACGGGACCGGCTACAAGCTCCGCGATGATACAAGCTTCGCGAGGCTCCAAAATACATCAACTAGAGCGTCTCAAATGAAGTGTTTATGGGCAATAGTTATGTATGTTTTTATCAATAGATAGACCAGTTCGTTTGTCTTTGTGTAGATACTGATCACGTATATTACATAGTCATTGCATAGCCTATTGGAGCAAAAAGTTTTCATGGCAATGGTCTCAGGCAATTGGAATAAGCTGCAGTACCTATGAAAATAATTTTTTTCATTATATTAGTAGAACAGGAAAACAGAGGTAATAAAAATTATTTGAAGGAACAACAAAATAAGCATGTGCTATCAATCCATATTTGCATCCTTGGAAATCATCGGTTGAAAAAGTGAACCACGTTTCAATACTATACGCATCACTTACAAACACTCTCCATAATTATGGGCAGTCTTTCAAGCGTTATATAATCAGTCAATATCAGTTTTCCTACTAGCATAGTACGTATATCAATCTTTGCATCGTAGGTATAGCTATAAATGCCAACTGCCAAAGTAGTTATACCATGAATAAAGCTGAACATTGCTATGAAAGTGTGTGTAGTATAGCATTTACAATGTAAGTACATACGTTTATTCACGTAGTTATATTTATAGCGAATGCATCACAATTATTCCCAGCATGCTACCACAAATAAAAAGTAAGTGCAGCATGTATGGAACAAATACGTCTTCACTTTTCAGTTGCTACCACGATCAACTTTCCGAGCTGTCTAAACGTGTAGGAAACGTTTTGAAACATTTCTGATGCATTACAAACAAAGCATGACAAGCACTAAAACACTAATGAAACATGATGCATCGTGCATGCCAATGTTTGCCAGGTGAGTACTCCTGTGTTGAACGAGTTTATTGAACACTCGGATTTTTAAGCCTGTCTTATCACTTGAGGCGCTTAAATGAAAAGCGCACGTGAAATGTAAAGACCTTAGACGCACGCCAGCTGAAAAAAGATTCTACCTTTTGACTTTCTATTCTTCCCTATAGCTTGTCTCGTGACTTATTCAATTGCGCACTTACAGCGATCTGACAGGTTAAAAAATCCGACTATGCCATTACAATCTGCCTAGTAAGAACGCATTTTATGGCCTGGGCTATATGTTTTCCGTGAAGTAAACAAAATTCACTCATCAAGGTTTTTTAGGAACGACATGCGAACAAAACATTTTCGGGCCGATGACCCATGCGGCGTGCCATTTTGAGCATTGTATAAAATGACAAATAAATCGATTCCTACCTACCTTTATCAACCCTGATCCAAGGTCACGATCGGTCCGCTGCCACAGAGGGGTTTGTACTTTGTCGATATGCCATAAAAGAACAAACTTCCAAGGCCGGCCAATCAGAATGCACAAGCCTGAAAGCTCTGCTTATAATGCACGCACCAATCATAACACAGTAAGCAAGGGTAGGAAATGCAAAAAAGCAAATGAGGATGGCAGAACAAATATTCACAGAGACTTACCCGAACGGCTTGTCGGAACTTGGCGCTCATAATATGGTAGAGAATGGGGTTGACGCATGTGCTGACAAAGTAGAGTACTCCAGAGACCCGATACAGACCCTGTGGCAGAGGAAACACAAAACGACGTGGTTAATTGCAGGGTCAAATGAAAACACTCACTGTCAGTAGCTTGGGGTCAGATGATGTGCCCTGATCTAAAGTACGGCACGTGTGAGGAAAAATGGCCTTGAGGTGCCTGAATCACTTTGCACGTGTTTTTATCACTGTAAATTCGTAGTTCCGAGCTGGTTCCGAGCCTATGTCAGGGGCCTCAGCTTGGGGCAAATATTGCTGAAAAGTCTTGATAGAAATGTTCTCGGATATATTGGAGGAAATATGAAGGCTCGTGCATTAAGGGCTGCACTTTCATTTCTTGTTTTCTTATATTTGCCAGACGTTAGTTTTCTTTTTGTGCTGGCGAGCGAATTATCTCATTGCGATTTGAATAGAAAAGGTATCGGAAACCTACATCAATGCTTCGTCATGATATTTCCTGTAATCTACTGCTCGAAAAAGGTGCATTCATCCATCGACAATACCACCCTCGCTCCCATTCAGCAGCTAGCGCGGAATCTAGCAAAGAGCAGCGAAAATTGCAGAAATGGCGCTTCCACAGATGTTGGTACTTTGCCGTGTGACAGCAGCTCCTTTGTTGCTTGCTTCTATCACATGCCGGGCGCCTTGGTACAGATGACAACCAGCCTGACCTCTTTCAGCTGACATCCGATGTAATGACCTATCGCTCGCCTGAGGTCGATCGATCGACCCCTGTCGCGAACGACAGGGATGGACGCCTGGGTCGCCGGCCGCCATCTATGATTTATTGCAAATTGTTGTGTCTTGTTGCCACAGACGCCCAGTGTCGAACTGACGCCCATCGCGTTATCAGTCGCTGGCTCTCCGGCGCTTCAGAGAAGCACATTAATAAAACAATCAATGCGTAGGCATTTATTATACATCCAAACTAACCAATCGCCGACACTCCATCGGTTTTCATGGCCAGGGGATTTTTGAATACATTTGAATACAACTTTGACAGAAACCTCAGACGCAGAATCATCGAACTAAATACGCCACAGCGCTTGAAAATAAACTGTTCAGAAATTACTCGCCTTTAATAAGAAGGCGAGTTAATTGCAGTCATTGGCTTCTCTTTCGTCAATAATTAACTCATAATTAATCGCGCAATTATTTAAGCACGTAAATTTGACAAGTAGTCATTTTCATTTGATTTCTTATTTACTTTAAAATTCAAAATCAAAATGAAAAAGAAAATGATGGAAGATGATGAGCTTCCCGGGAATGGGGCATGTGAAGCTTGGTGGACGGAGAAATATATAAACAAAAATAAACAAATGTGAGCCATTCATTTACCTATTTCATTAAGGACTACAAATGATGTTTTCAATATTCAGCTATCCCCATGTACAAGCATATTGCTGGTATTATTTACTACTATAATGTGGCATTTACGGATCAAATAAGCATTTCTTCAACCAGCCCCGGGACATCAAATTTGAACACAAATTTGAAAAAGATAAAAATTGATGTAGATGTTTTGATCGAATTGATCGTTGTCTTATATCTCATATAATATTAAAAATATGTCTACCCAACATTATTTACCAAACTCTTCTCGTTGGTTTATTCGTTTATTTTATGTGGTCATTTATTCATTTATTTTATTTATTATGGATTCATTTATTTTATATGGTCATTCATCATGGATTTGAATGTGCACACTCAATGAGACCCGCTACGACTCATTAGCTCAACGAATCATTACTTTCGAGGCAAGGCGTGAAAATTATAAGACGTCATCATTATTGATTTTTGATTAAACGAGCTTGATAGATAGAAGAATCTCCTCAACATGTACTCGCTGACTGTCAAATGTCCTCTTTAACGACAGCGATTCATACTCAATACGCACACAGTATTGTTAGTCTATCATTGTTAAGAAAGAGCTACCCCAAAGCACACACTAAGGCTGATCGCGATCCAAGATTATAAGCATTCTCATTAATCCCAATAAAACCAACCAATCAGTCCAAATCACATAACAACACGGAGTCATTTATTTAACTGCTCGTGCGTGTATGTGTTTTGGCGGGTGCTGGCATGGCCCGAGCTACACAGCTTGAGTTAGGAATGTCCCCACCGCCTGGTTGGTCCCAGCAGCTGCCAGCAGCTGCCAACAGCTGCCACAGAGCCGGCAGCTGCTGGATATAATCCAGCAGCTGACTGGCACAGCTGCCCGGCGGCAGATATGGATGAAAGGACAACATTCAGCTTGTCGGGTAGTATGTCAACCCGACACTAGCCAAAATGTTGCGATACGTCGGAATGGCGGAATAGTATATGGGAAAAGGATATGTAAAAATAGTAGGATCAATGCAAAATATGTAATGGAATATTTGACAAGTATCATCTTACTTATATAAATCCCAGGCTGAAAATATTAAAGGCATTCGGTTGCTTTCAAGGTAGCAATAATGTCGATTAGAAGTTGTTTTATCAGCCAGATGCAGTAAAGGTTGTACCAACTGTACAATATGGCATAATTTCGACACATTGGTACCTTTAATGTATGTCTTATTATTTATTCTTTTTTTCAATTTATCAGGTTGTTTGGCTTCATCTAGTAAATACCATATCACTGCATGTATGCTACATGCGAGGTTATGAAGTTCAAGTGATATTAATGATCGCTATTCTATGAATAGCCTATTATGGTATGATAGAATGGAATGCAATGCCGAACAAAGATTCCCTTGAATGAAAATCTTACGATTCATCAATTCGACACGTTCAGAAGGCTGGCCAGTGGCGGCCAGGCCCTCTCTAAATAAGCAACTTAAAATGACCCGTAACAAGTTCACCCACGTTCCGTTTCTCTTTTAATTCTTTTATGCAGCCAATCCAACTGGACGCTGACTGATTCATTGGCAAAGCCAACACTCTGGTCGGTGAGAAGGACGTACGACTATCAGTGGCACATTTAGATGGCACATTCCATTAGTTCCCGGCAACAAAAGAATTACGGCTTTATTCAAGAGTGGGTTTGCCTCTGAGGCTACACCCAGGTCTTAAATCTCTCAAACGTACTCGAGCTTAATGCCCGGGCACATTAGAAATCTACATAAACATCTAGTGGTGGCGAACTCTCCCCAGGCCCGGTAAGCCTGTATTTGAACTTGTGTCTAGACATCAGAGAACTTACAGGAAGTATTCGCCGAACAGGGTCATTAGACGGTCGTTTCGGCACTCAAAATGGAGACGTTTGTCTACAGACGTCTATCAAATGCTTATGGGCGATAAAAGATGCAGTACTGTGAGAGCGCATGTCGCCATATTGACATGAAAATGAAATATTGCCATATTTAATTTTGTGTTATAGTTCGTGGTACCGGGCAGTCATGTGACGTAAAAGGAAGTTACTCGAAGTTGAAGGATTACTCAATTGGGCTTATTTCCTTTCTAAAACGTTTGAAATGTCGCATTGAGTAGAACTCCAATTTTCTCTGATGACATACTGTGTGCGATGCATTCATATATCTTATCTATATTTTCAAAAACCTTGTGCACAAGCCAACGCTCAAACCAACTGAAGCATTTGGAAACGTTTTCACATGGAAATACTGGAGCTAGTGGCCTATATTTCGTTTGCATATATTGGAGTGGCAACAACAGCATGGCACTTGCAGCAATCGAAGGCATCTATTTAGTACCACAACACAACATATGCTTAGCTGTGATTCCCGACTGGTTCCATTTATTCGGATTTGACGACATTTTCAAAGTCAGTGTATATCCAGTCAACTTTACCAGAAGACCGCATTTAAGCTGAAAATGCAGTGCCTGTAAATACAGCGATAACCTGTGGCCAGCCAGAGTGGCTCGGCCGGCACTATCGTATATAACTGCAGATAAAGCTCCAGACTTGTCGAGTCAGCCACCACATAAGACGGGGTAGTTTGAATGGTTTATTGGACACTTTGACTTGTGCAAGGGCACAGACTGCAGCGTCCTAGGCACCGAACATTGCTCTTATAAGCCGATCGAGCGAAAAAGAGTGGTGGTCTTTAAAAAAGCGATTCTTTTCTTTCAACCCTACAAACGTCGGGAGACACGGTGAAATTAAAAAACACAAAGTGAAATCCCCAATCTATTGGCAATGACGATCACATTTGGTGGAACAATTGAAACCGAAGAATACGATACCACAGCCCTTTCGCATCAGATCTCAGTTTGATTTTTAACGTCCGAATAAATAGGCCGTTCCTCCAAGTTCACAGCATTCGCGCTACTTTCTGAGGAAACTAGGAACCGAGTGGCTGGTCGGCTTTTCTTACACGAGTCAAGCTGAGGCTCACCCGAAAGTTTATAGACGAGGCACCACAATATTCCGCAGCCCACAATTTCTGTCCGCCGTCTTAGGCACAAAAACAAACTACATATGCGCGACACATAACATCCGAACGGCAAAAAATAAAGTGCCGATGATGGGTATAAGCGTGCGTTTGCCGTTTGGTTGAAACCTGATGCTCCCAGGGCTGTAACGATAGATCTACTTTTTTGCATGACTGACTGCCAAGCCCCGGTATACCGGCTATCTCCGAAACAAAACACCATCGCATTTATAGGATTGCATTGCGACGACATCCTCAGTTAAAATAAGGTTCTCTGAAAGCACATAAACAGTTGCGAGGTCACTGGCCGCTAAGACATTTCGATACCAATTTAAACGGGAAGTAGACAGGTTGCATTTTATTATCATAATTAACGGATTGAAACTTTAGAAAATCATTCAATTATTCATTGAAAGGCATTAAAGGCATTATGATTATCAGCTGCTCGATGAAAAAGGCATTTAACGTGGTGGTTGAAAACGTAATGGCTTGATTCCAGTCCTGGATATGCTTCAAGGAACACAAGTTATAATATAGTTGCATAAATGTGAAACATTCAGTCTCACATTGCAAAGACATGGTAGACATTTTAAAAACGGCAATTTATCACTACAGGATAGGACGGGAAACAAACAGAGCTCGTTTATTTTCTCGTATATCATCAGACTTCTACATAAGAATCAGGTTTAGATTTATGGCGAGAACTTGAGTTTACTAGCTATGTATTCCCCTAAAATATTAGCTACATGAATAATTTATTACGTTCTGCATACATGCAAAATGTCAAATACAAAACTCGAAATGCGCAAACAGTTGAGCCAAAATGACATTACATCACGGTTTTGTACCACCGTTTTCGTTGTTGTAGTGATCTTACCTGCATAATGGCATTGACGACCTCTGATCGGTTGTCGGGCACGGAGATGGCCAGTAGTCTCTGCGCGTGGAATGGTGCCCAGCAGATGAAAAATGCTACCACCACCGCCACTGGGAACAGAGGGAGTTGGTCATGTCAGGTCTTGGTAAGCTCTAAGTCACCTCAGATGTCCAAGGTGCTATAACTCGGTGTCCCCTGAGCGCTGCCAGCGGATGGGCTGGTCATAGTTTTGCAACCGTGGGATTGAGGAGTGCCCCAGCCCTCACCAGACACGGGCATTCTTGGGTTTGTGTGTGTGTTGTAGCAAGTGTAGGTACTAGCATGGTCACAGCTACACATATTTTTTTTTTTAAAGAATTACACCGCCACCCATGAACAAGTGACCAGGTGTCCCGCGCTCGAGCCCAGCGACAACAGAACCCTTACGTTAACACCAGAAAAACTGAGGAGATAAATGTCGCAGCACTCCCTGCTAAGACAGGAAATAAACCAAACACAAGCAAAGAAGAAATGATAAGAGCCAGGGATTGCTAGTATGGCATACGAAGAAGGCAGAAAGTAGTCAATGGACTAATGAGCCATTGACTGAACCTCCCACTACGATCCCGAAATGAGCACTCATACTTTCATACATACTAGGGTTGACTATTAAGTAATAGAAGTGCCTTAAGCAATTTAACGTTTTTGCACGTGCACATGTTTTCTTGGTGTCATTTCATGCGCCGATGTTTTTTCTATCCAATGGTGAAGACCACATGTCCTTAGCTACTTCTTGCTCCAAGCTATCGTCGTTTTCCCAAGAGACCACCCGAACCTGCGGCGCACCATGAAAAAGGAGTCTGGCAATGGCCAAAATCGCGCGCCAAGCGCCAGCGCGAGGTCATCAGAGCTTATTGGCTTATTGTTATGGCTACACAATGGACAATTTCTATATTTTCATCAAAACAATACACATTGGCACGATAAATGACAGCATACACTACTCCAAATAATCGCCTTCAAGCATCACACACCATTCCAGCCTCGTCTTGACCCACTCCTGGAACGCCGCCAGAAGACTGATCGGCGCTTTCTTTCTCAAACCGATGAAACCACCGACATATCGTCTGTGGGGAGGCTGCGTCGCTCCATACTAGAAAATAAATTTTCTGATATTGGTAGGCCTTTTCCCTACGACAAACTGAGCTCTAATGACCTTGCACTCGGCGCTGGCGCGCGGCTTTGGCCATTGCCAGGTGGTGCGCCACAGGTTCGGGAGGTCTCTTGGGAAAACGACGATAGCTTATAGCAAAACGTAGCTAGGGACATGTGGTCTTCACCATTGGATAGAAAAAAGATCGGCGCATGAAATGACACCTAAATAATGTGTGCACGTGCAAACCCGTTTAATTGCTTAAGGCACTTCCATTACTTAATAGTCAACCCTAGTACATTGGGTAAGGGGGTTTCTGTGCATACAGGTAAAAATTAGTCTGGTCATATATAATGCTGGTGTTTATGGTGTGACCAGGGGAGCTCTTCCAGCTAAGCAAGGCTTGTTGCTGGTCGAGTCCCCAGGTCACAGCATATGAATGCGGCGTATAGTCTGAATATATTGGAGCATATTTGTTTGAAATCCTTTTTCAGCTCAAAAGGGACTTTATAAATCATGTTTAAATTTGCAATTTTTGGACCTAACAACTGACTCGACTAAAATGACTTGAGAACCTTATTTTTGTTATGTGTATCTGAGGATTAGTTGATTTTTAATTATTATTATTTATCATTTTTATTATTTATTATTTTACCTATATTACTGCAAACCATCGCAAATGGACACTTATTGTCCACCACGGACATTAAACGTGACTTTCAAATGGCATGGTGTTGAAGCTTGACCTAAACGGTATTCGTTAGAACGCAAAAAAACAGCTCTAAAAATAGCATGCCTGAAAAGCTATCGTTTGGTTTCTTTTTTAACCCTCGCATGTGTGCGGCGTTTGCCAGCTTCTAATGTGTAGGGGGGGGGGGGTCGGTTGGACCCCCCCTTGCCGTTTGGCCCCTGATCGAGCTAGAGCTTCGCGGAAAAAACGAGCGTGTTGCCCGTGACGAGAGGAAGCCGATGATACCCAATTTTAAGGTCCTAGGTCATTGGTTGACCTTCCAGGTCAGGTCAATGACCCAAAGTCGGGAAAATCGGGACCTGTTAGAAAGTCGTAAAGTGTGGCTGCTAAGGGGTTTTTCGGGGCGCTGATCACGAATATCGTGTTAGTTTTGATCACAGATGATGTCTTGAAGCATTTAGACCAGGTCGGGTCAGGTCAGGTCAGGTCAACCAGTAGGCGTCGTGACGGGTATTCGTAGTACGTGTCAACCGCCTCTGACAGCTTCGTAACATGTTACGAAGTCACCAAAACTACTTCGTAAATGTCCAAATGGTTGCTAAATTCGAATTCAGCTCCAAAAACTAGCCTAGAAACATGTAAAACTCGAAAAAGTGACCCGAGGTCACCCGAGGTCACCAAAGGTCAATGACCTGACCTGACCTTCAGGTGACCTTGACACACACGGGAGTAACATCTAATCACATGTTTGAACGTTTGAAACCACGAAAAGCTTGCAAACACGCGGCTAGTGCGAGCCGACATACGCGAAATCGCGATTCCGACCAAACATGGTCTCGGAAAAGAGGTCACAGGTCAAAGGTCATTTGGGTCAGGGTCATGAAATTTTCAGGGTAAGTGTAAAATTGATCAATGCGAGGGTACTGAAAGTTTCGTCGCGATCGGCCGCTTTTTACGCGAGTTATTCGCGAAAAACCATGGGGGGGGGGGGGGTCCATCCGACCCCCCCCCCCTACACATGCGAGGGTTAAATAGCAAGTATGGAGCATGTATTTGTTGGAATCCATGCAATTCGGAATAAGGTGATGCTAAAACCGGCACCTGGGGACATGTGAAGCCGCAGTTTAATTAGTGTTTAGTTTCATACAATAATAAGGCTAATGAAATGGCACCACCTCTAGAACGTGGGCTTGTCAATGGCACAACAGACAAAATAATGCTGATAACATGGAACTCTTTTTCGCTTAATTATCATTAGATACGTGCCATGAGCAAAATCATATAACGAATGAAACAAATGTGCTGAAGCAGCCGTCTTCAATACAGACAAGAAGTGCCATTGATGGCATATTTTTCTCACACATGCAGTTCGCTCATGAGCTCCATGATGGTGAGTTTTTACTCATCTCTTAGAAAACAGCAGCTCTATCAAATCACATTTCTTTCATGTGATTGGCACCGTTGGCGAAAGAGGAATCATGACCATGAATCTGGGTTTTGATATCTAAGTAAAACTTTCTGTCAATAACTGTCAGCCCACGGGACGTTTGATTTATACTCATCATTCCGTCATTTATTGAATAGTTTATTATTGTACCTCAAGCCGTGATCACATTTCTTAATCCTGGTCACCGATAAAACGGATATAGAGGATTCTTCATGGCTCCGAGTGGAAGATAAGGATATCTTTTCCAAGCGGGTTAAGAAAAGGATAGGAAAAGATATCCGATCTTCCACGAGTGAGCCATGAGGAATCCTATATCTTTCTATGTTGAGGTTTATTTTTAATTAATAAAATACTATATTTAAATGCATTCACATATGTAAAAATAGATTCAGAGCACTTTGTTCTTATTTGATAAGTTTCATCCATAAACAATGTCGTTCGGTTATTGACCCATCGTCACTTGAACTCTTGATTTTTCGCTATGAACCCTCGAGACCTTATCTTTACATCTCAGAGGGATGCAGATATAAAAATTCTTATCTTTGCATCTCAGAGGAGTGCGAGATAGAAATATCCCTGCACTGTAGACCCGATGGCAAATAAACCTCAACTAGAAAAGCCACCAGCGCACCTGGCTATCACAGTTCAATGATCAGCAGAAGAACGCTGTCTGCCGTGTTTAAGATCATTCACCGGACAGTCTGGGGACTCATCTGAACACGTGACTGTGGCAGCTTGACCCCGCAAATAGCCTTTAGACGTGCGCTCTGTAAATGCATCTCTAGAGAGCCTATCATGTGAACACCAAGCTCAATTGACCGAAGCTATGGCCAGGAATATTCGATCTAAAGCCACTGGATCGGGACATGAGGTTACCTCTGGGCAGCGCGCCATGCGACTATCAAAAGAGCTGAGTCCCATGAATTGCAAATAGGATAGAGTTACTTACGAATGCGGCTGAGGCCTCCACAGTGTTCAGAGCACGAGATACATGTTCATGTAAATAAATAATGACGGAGCTGGTTTAGTTTGGTATCAGATAGCGCTAGTGCATTTGTGTGAAATATCACACAGAGTAACTCATAAACAAACAATGACTGCATTTGGAACGTGCAATTTATAAGCACACACAGTTTGCTGTTTACAAATTGGTCACGAATTTCATGGTGGTTTCGTTATCATGACAGCGTATTACTAAAAAGCGTGGTTTCCCTGAATTATCTGGAAATTTCCCAACAACTACAAGCATTTTGATGCCAAATTTTGTCACGACTCTCCATCATCGATGCAGCATTGAAAGACTCCAGCGCAGCGTAAATTATGGATATGACAATCAATTTCACATTTGGCCCAATTTTTAACAAACGCGCTCAGGCGCTTACTAGGTCAGGTCAAACTACATGGATCACTATGGGGTTCACTATCAGTGGCCCCTTCGTGTAAGGTGTCAGGTCAAGCACGATATGTGCGTTTTGCATGTCTCATAAATTGATTGCTAAGCTGATGCATCACATTGGATGGACTTGGCCGATGATGGTATAAGCTATAATGCCCACTCATCCAGTGTCACTGTCTTGACAGAATGGTGCTATGAAGTTTTACTGTTATCCTTGTAAGTGAAACATGATCGAAGGCAGAAAGCACTCCGCAGTGAAATCAGTTCGCAGGGTACACTGAGTTATTCATGAAATTGCGAAGTAGTATAAGCGATAATAAGGTTTAAATCTGAGCATCTGTTCTGACCTTTCAAACAAGTTCATAAAACGTTAGCTTGAAGGTAATTAACGGCGGGGACTGACCAGCTGCGTCGGTTGATGTTGTGGGTATGCCTCTTTAGAAATAAATGCAATTCATTCCACCGGAAATTATGGAGCTATGTTTAGCGCTTCTTTGCAGGCTAATGAGGTCGTTTGAACATTTCAGTCGAAAATATACTGTAGCTATTACTCTTTCACAACGGCAACTTATTATTTTCCTAGAAATATGATTGCTATTTCCACTTTAATTAGTTAACATTTTGAATGGCTTAGACTTGATATAAAAACTTTTCAGCTATCGTGAAGTGATGCCTGAATCTGAAGTCGTTGAATCGATTGGACTTTCAAATTCACATCCATTTATATATTCAAGACTGTTATTCATGATGTGCGTCAATTTAAAGTGTCAGTAGTGTGTGTATATAGTTATACTATATACCTAAAGTTCGTTTTTTTAAAGTTTGCCCCTCACTGTAAACGTCTCTTTGAACACAGCACGAGAATTGCTAGCTGAATTACAGAGAAAACTGGTTAGCGCACACTGTATTGTAGATATGAATAATATTTTCAAAATAAGTTTTGAACACCGACGATGTAACGTTATCCCGCGCCCTGCTGGGGGGGGGGGGGGGTGTTTGAACACTTAAGCGCCGTGCAATTTATTTATTAGTTCACTTCAGACATAACTCCTGAGAAGTCGCCTATCCCTGTGGGGCTGTAGGTATTGGCAAATACGAGCTATGAGTCTGAAATAGTAAATAAATTTGATGAAATTGATGGTCAGTGAAATCTGGTCAAATCAATGTGCGCCAACCAGTTTTCTCAGTAATTCAGCTAGCAATTCTCGTTCTGTGTTCAAAAAGACGTTTACAATGAGGAGCAAACTTAAAAAAACGAGCTATACCTCATTTGCCTCTTAGGTCGGCCCGTTTTTTTTCTTTTGTTCCTTAACCCACGTCTAGCTTGGGGAGGGGTACAAAATCTACTCCGGTTTTTCACCAATAGCTCCTATGTAAACGCGTTTAGCCAGCGACGTAAATCTTTCAGAACGTTGCATACATAAAGTTGACATGCTCTCTGAACGTTTAAACGAAACCTGTTGGAAAGTATTTGAGAAAATGGTTTTTTAGTGAAGCCATGTCACACCATTTTTGCTTCAAAAACTTCTTGACATCTTCAGTTTTTCTCAAAGAAATCAAGACTTAACAAAAAGAATATGCGTTGCTTTAAATTTCCTTTCAAATAAATAACTCAGCTTTTGAAAAAAAGCTTTGATACAACTATACAAAAAAAAAGAAAACACACTTATGGCCTCTACAATAGGGTCAATGGGAGAAAACTGAAATGCGCCTCTTCTGGACGAATGTCGTTCAAAACCCTCTCAAACATCGGTTCATAGGTAAACATGACACACTGAATAGGAAAAATGCACCTGTGACCCCTTTGTGTGTCCCTGAGGTCATTTCAGTTCATGAACAGCCACCAGCAGTTTTTGGCTATAACTTTTGATAGAGACGTTCTAGAGCGGTCTAAACACATCAGATGTGTTCAGCTCGACGATACGGATCGACTGATATGCAACATCACCCTTTCCGTTCAAGTCATGACCTTGACCTGAGGTCAACATTTCAAAATGACCTTTTCAGTTCAACATATAGTTCATTAGACGTGTCTCGACGAGAGGAACACGATACTGGCAAACGCTATGTCGTAGGTCTCTTGAGTCAAAAGTTATTACCGAAAAATATGTTTCGTGAAAACGGTTATTTTTAGTTTTTGCCCCCTGGAGGCTAAACCGTTGACCTGAGGTCAAATCTGACAAAATACTCAGAAAGATATGTGAAAGGGTTATCAAATGCACTTTTTCCGCGGCGTTGTGGCTCTCTTGTTCCTGAGTTAGCCGTGGGGGCTTCGAAAATTGTTGAAATAGACCAAATCTAACCTTTGATGACCTCTGTTGACCTGACCTTTGACCTGACCTTAAAATAACCAAGTATTTCTGCCATTATTTTTGACGTTCTTTCGGTTGCCGCTAACCGCGTGTCGCTACCTGACGCAGGAGCCGAGTTAGACTGGGGGGGGGGGGGGGGGTAGAAAACGCCCCCGTCTAAAACGGAAAAATCAGGCCAACAGCACGGCACGGGTTAAACTACCGCTAACACCCATGACCCATCAGCCAGCATTGTTATAAACAGCTGAAGCCAAGAGCTGTCGTCAATGAAAATATAAGCTGGATGGCTACCTGCCGCGCTGTATCAGCTATGGCAGCCAGCAATTTTACATTGCTTATTGTACTACTTCTGGTCGAGTTTTACATTACTTCGCGCGTCAACAAACTGGCATGACTAGTCACGGCTATAGACCGAGCTCTATTAGACAACTTTGTCTCATCTCACGCTGTCTGATGTGCACACCCAGAACGGTCGGAATGAGGAATATTCCTGAATGACTAAAGTCCTTTGCAACATAAAGAATAACTCGTACATGTCAAAGGTTAATGTAACTGCAGCATGGTGATTCATCAAGCTGAAACCGCCTTTTCAGCAAGATATATCGCTCGCATATGAGCAATTACAGCTAAAAAAATAAAGACATAAAAGTATGCAACAGGGTAGGGTAAAGCCCGAAAAAATACTCTACGATGGATAGCCGTGGGACGTGTACTATGTCTAAATTGAGGCATGCCCGTGCACCACAGCACTGCAAGCAAGCTTACAAAAAAAAACTTATTTAACAAAACGTTCGAAGGTAAGCATTGTATGGATATGTGAGCAGCACCCCAAAAATACATGAAAACATGTCGACGAACGAGGATAAAAACATGAAGCATGTCTTATAAAATGAAGTAGGTACACAGGCAAACATTTCCATGCGAAACCAGGGACCCCTTATTCCCTCCTTCAAACTAATCAGTAAAGCCAACATTTCCCACAGCTCTTCAGCATCCCCAAAGTACCCAATGCGTAAGAAAACTTACCTAGCATTTTGATGACGGCTCTCCTGGCAGCGATGGCACCGGCGCCGGTACCGGACCCTCCTCCGTGCATACTTCCTCGGGACATGTGCCTCGAGCGTCCGGAACGGCGCAGGCGCAGCCCGATGAGAACGTAGAGAAGCGTGATGATCATCATCGGCACGACGAAGAACAGCACTGACGACACCTCGAAGACGTAGGGGAAGAGATGGCGCACCACGTTGCAGTTGGCAGTCTCCTCGCGGATGTTACCGAACTCATCCAGCTTGTGTTTGATACCAAACTGAGCAGCGGGGAAACAGGCGCAGAGAAGTGCAACTGCCCAGATGAAGACGATGTTGCGGATGGTACGAGGGAGACTTGACATGGTCTGCTGTATCAGTGGATGGCAGATCGCCATGTAGCGCTCCACTGTGAAGAACACGATGGTGAGAATGGAAGCATTAGTGGACGTTTCGGCGCACAGTCCGTGAACGATGCAGAACGTCTCGCCAAAGGCGTACGGCTGTCCGGGCGTCCAGAAGCCGTAGAGCTCGATGGGCAGTCCAGTAACAAGAAGCAGAAGATCCGAGATGGCCATGCTGAAGAGATAATAGTTCGTCGCGGTATGCATGTACCTGTTGTATACGATGACGATGCAGGTGACTGTGTTGCCCACGGCGCTGAGAAGGAAGGTGATGACGTACAGCACCGTCATCGGGATGACGGTGTGCATGTCGCCGTCGGTGCTGGACGTGTCGTTGACGCTGTTGTGGAAGGCGGATGTAGAGGAGATGGAGTCGTTCAAGAAGTCCAAGCCGAAGTCATCAAACAAGAAGCTGTCATTTTCGGAGGCCATGATTTTCGGGTGGCTTTGAAAATTAGATTACGGAGGAAGCAGAGAAATGCTAAGCACGTGTGAGGAAATGCGAGGATTTGTGCTTTTCAAAAAATCTTTTACGTATATATCGCACCTGTTTTTCACTTGCGGTTCTTTCTCTCACAGCGCTTAGACGCCTGTCGAATCGCGTCCAGTTTTCTCCAAAGAGATTTGCCAACCAGCGGCAATGATATCCGATGTCCGTTTGCCACACCGGATGCTTGCACTGTCTATCACCAGTGTCCTGAGTTCTGTACCGTGCTGTCAGCGGCCGCCCTCTGTGAGACCGTTGGTACGCGAACGCTCACGCCGACGTCGGTCGCCCGACTGTTCCGCCGATCTCGACGCGGCACGCGGGGCCAGCTGTCGCTTGCGACGAACCACCTCGACTGCGGCGACGCGCGCCGCCGCCGCCGCCGAATCTGTCTGAACGTTGCGCCGATCGAATTTCTGCAGTCAGTGACCTTCGAGGCGCATCGGCCGCCAGACGCGCTCAGTTACCTACTGCGACAGCCTTCACACACCCTAGAGACGTGACAGGGCGACTAAATCTGCACCCTTGAGCTCGGGAGTAGAGTAGTTTTGGAGATGATCTGAGCAGACCCGCCACTGAGCACGGACTAGTCGACGGGAGGCGCCTCACTAACAAGAACACGAGCGAGCCGAGCAAGACGTTTCGGACGTAGGTTCGTTATTTGTTTCAGATTTATTGCTACTTGTCCGCGCTGATTGGGGCGGTCACGGAAATCGCTGCGAGTTGCCGCGTGAAATTGCTCGGCAACTATCCTCTCGTCGGCAGTACTCCTCTGTGACGCCGGTTTATTGGAATATTTGCTGGTGGCCGTTAGAAGTTCAATGTTGGCCGGGGTCAGGATGACCAGGCGTTCTTGATGCAGGCTGTGCGCAGCAGAAACCTGAAACGAGAAAATCGGAATCAAATAAAGAAGTTGATACGAATATACCTGAGAAGATCAAGCAGCGTAGGCGAGAATCATGTAGGCAATGGGCATAAGAGTTGGTAAACACACGTAGGTACTCGTCTGCCCAATGGAAGCACAAAACATATAAAGTTATAAAACTTGTATAACTGTTTGTATATACCAACGGATCGGCGATGCTCGCGTGTTTCGATTGATAAAAAAGTTTTTTTTTCTTTCTTTTAAATCAATTAAAATAAATTTCTATAGGATGTTAGTACAATAGCTAATAATATCGCTCTGCTTTTTCAGAAGCAATATTTATTTTTTAATATGCTAGTATTTAAGTAGGCAGGTGTCGTGTCATCTACGCTACAGGTATATCTAACACATTGAAAAATAATGCATGACTCCTCGCTGAGAAAAACCTGCACCAAGTGAATGCACCAAGTAGTGAATGCCTAAATAACTCAGCGGTCATCTACCTGTAAGCTTCAGAGCCCTTCACAAGGCTGCACAGTGACAACGATTCAGTTTGCAGTCCAGCAACGGCCTAGACGCTTGTCCACCCCCCCCCCCCTCCCTTCTCCAAACGACCCTGACGAACATCCCTCTCACCTGCTAATGACCCTCAGACGCCGTACGATATGCAAATTTTCCCGCGGCAAAGAGGCCGGTAAATAACGATAAACAGATGCCAAGTCTGCCACAGGAGTGCTGAACTGCAAAGCAAACACGATTTTCGTCGTAACGGTGGACCACCGAGTCGCTAGGCACGCGACATTGCATGCCAGCGAGTGTGGTGTTCTTTTAGGGCCTTGCGTGGTGTAGAGCTATTGCCGGAAAATATTGCTGTCGAAAGGCATCGAAAATGACAAGTGTTGCCATACCTAATTTGGAATGGCATCCATTGCTGATGTGTTTTCGTGTTTCAAAGTTTGCGGAGACATTAATCTGAAAATGCGTGACGCTGGTGTTCTAGTTTGTGCTCATTGGCTGATGCTTGCTGGGAGGCAATCGCGGTAATGACAGTGTCATCACATTAAAAGGCATTTAAAGGCCATCTTGATCTCCCATATATAAAGCCCTAATGATGCATACACATTTTTGCGTATGGTGCATTATGTGTCCCTCTTGCAGAGTGCACCCTCATGAAGTTATGCTGCTGGTTACAGCTACCGGTCAACCATCTGAACCCCACCCACCGCCCCAAAATAGCAGCATCTATCATCATGAGACCCCCCCCCCGCCACCACCAAAAGGCATGCGTTGAAACATAAGAGAAAAAAGAAACGTTCACGTTGCATATTTACGGCGTTTCATATTAACTGCAGGTTGCAGTTAGAGTCGCATAATTCAAATCATCACGTCGCAACTCTATTCAACCGAACCTTACAAAGGTGACACAGATTGGAACTGACAAGTGGCATAACGAACTTTCCCGTCGAATGGGATGGTCGGAATTGAGCGAGCCGTCCGCTAGACCCATAGGAAATGATCGAGTGGCCGAGTCGCAATCGTAAAATACTAGATAAGGTTTAATATTACTGCAGCTGGAATATAATTAAAACAGGGGAAGTTGCCAACGGCTCTGATAGCCTATCGTGCTAGCCGTTTGCGAGGTAGGGCTCCTTCGGAAAATAGACTGGAACAGGATCAACGTTACTGGAACCTATACAATAAAAAATAAACATGTTACATTCTGATATAGAAACAGTGTGCCATGAGGGATTTTAGCCCGCCCGATTTCACAGCACTGCCATCAGACGGTACAGTAAATACGCGCAGGGATATTTAGGCGACTGCCGTTCTCCGTATAGTTCTAAATCAATGAAAATTGATAGTTATCTTCGGAAGAGAAATAGACGAATTTCAAAGAAAATACGCTGACAAGAGCGAGTTAAGAGGAGTTAAATGATTTTTGAAGTTCAGACAATCCAACGCAGCCTCTACATATAATAAATGGATCACCAATGTCACTGGGTACAGCCAAACCTCCGTAAGCTTCTCGTCCTATTTTCATCACACCTTTTGCAGGTCGGCGTGCTCTCTGACCTTATATAAACACACTGTCTCGACATAAACTTCGGTAAACAACAACAAACGAGCGCGATAACGCTGTGTGGCCATAAACATCCCGTCTCCATTCACTTTTCCGGTTCGAGTTAATTACGTCATGTGAGGATGAGGTGTCTGTCTAGCGCCTTCTGCACGGTCTGAATTGATGGTCTCACGGCCTGTGAAGAGCTGGGTTGCTCAGGACACTCGTGGAGACGGTACCGGTTAGGGACGTCTCCGCAGTGGGCGCACGCTCTTGCAGCGCAGTCCGCGTACCTGGTACCGGTCGCCTTGCCTGGCCCTCAGCCTTTTGTGACTTGTTTCATTGTAGGTAGGTCAAATAGTTGGTTTTCTATTCCACTTCTTTTCCCACTCTCTGAGGCGTCTGTCCTCCTCCCTCCCCGTCCTTTCCATTCTCCTCTGTCGTTGTTTGGGGGCATCCGAGGCCACCGGCAGCGCCGGCCCTCTTCGCCCAATTTTTTTATCCGGGTCGGCTTATCTTTGTAATCTGCGGCTCCGCCCGCTAGTGTATTTTTATCTGTACTTTGCATCCCATCGCTACATTAAATTTCGCTATTCGCTTGAGTTGATGCTCCGCCTCACAGAGGAAACCGACCTGACTCAACACCGAAAATGACGACCACGACGCACGACACCGAGGCTGCAGCCTCCCTCCCACCGACAGCGACAACACCCGAAGGCCCGGCCTTCATCCTGATCAAGAAAACACGAGGCGGCAACTTCCTCCACACAAACCCGTTCAGCCTGCGCCGTGCAATCGACTCTATCTGCGGGACCGTCAAAAGCGTCAAGGCCCTCCGCACCGGCCCCCTGCTGGTCGAGACATTCCACCGGAACCAGACAGACGCCCTTCTGGCCAGCACCAGCCTGAAAGAGACCCCGGTTTCGGCCATCCTGGCCGACCGCCTTAACGCCGTGGAGGGCTCAGTCCGGTCGGACGCACTCACTGAGCTCAGTAACGCCGAGCTCCTCGAGGAGCTGAAAGACCAGGGCGTCTGCCGCGTCCAGCGCCTCAGATCCCGCGACGTGAAAACCCTGGGGCCCAACCCAACAGTACGTCTTTCATTCACCGGCCGCGTGCTCCCGCTGGCCATCACGTGTGGCTACCTGAGGGTACCTGTTGACCCGTGGGTCCCCGCCCCTCGACCGTGCCCCCACTGCTGGGAATTTGGGCACACGAAACGCGCCTGCCTCCGGCGCAACGCCCGCTGCGGCCGGTGCAGCGCCGAACACGCCACTGACGGGTGCGAGCGCGACCCCACCTGCGCTGGCTGCGGCGGCCCTCACCCGGCCTGGGACCGCCACTGCCCCATCCAACGTGACGCCAGAGAATGGCACCGCGAACAGGTGCGCGCTCAACGGGAAGAACACCGGGCTCGGGGCCGCCACCCCAGTGCCCCCCTCTGGGCACCGGCTCTGGACGATCGTGAGTGGCCGGCCCTCCCGACTCGCGACACACAGCCCCGCTCCGCCGCCGCCGCGACGTCAGCGCCGAAGCCGCCGCCGCCGCCTCGCCCGACCGCCGCCGCCGCCGCCCCCGCCGCCGCCGCCGCCGCTGCCGCCCCCGCCGCCGCCGCCGCCGCCGCCGCTGCCCCGATGCCGGCACCCGGACCGCGCCCGCTCATGGACCCCTGGGGCGGAGTCGAGCCGAGCCGCGCCGAAACTATGTCCACCCCCACCCAGGCTACGCCCACCCAGAGCGGCGATCCAGCAGACGACGACGAGCCGACACCGCGCGACCCCCACCAATCGCGACACTCCACGGGCTCTCCCTCTCCGAACAACCCCCGCGCTACGACCCCAGTATCGGAAGCCGATACCATCCCCTTGGAGCTCACGGACTCCGACTCAGAGCACGAGCGCACGATTGTCAGTGCCCCCTCCCCTCTGCGCTCACCCTCCACCCCTCCCCTCCAGCGAGGACTGTCCGAACCAATCACGGGCGAGGACTATGACCGCCTCCGAGAGCGGCCCGTAACCCGCTCGGTCACAAAGAACACTAGTTAAACTCCAAACAATGGAGGAATTTCTTCTCCAGTGGAACACAAGATCCCTTGTGGGCCACTGGGGGGAATTCCGTGAATATATGGTAAACAAAAAGCCATTAGTAGCCGCTATCCAGGAGACCAGATTTCTCGACTCAGATTCAATCAACTATAACTTCAACATTTTCGGCTATTCACTGTATTGCGATAACGTAAATGAACAACCTCGCCGAGGCGGCTCGGCTTTGTATGTATCTAACAATCTAATTCATCAACAAATAACTTTCAATTCGACTCTAAATTACGTTGCAACAACCATTAAAATCGCACAGCGAGACATTAACGTAATATCCCTTTATCTTTCCCCAACCCATAACGTAACCTTTCAACAACTGGATCACTTTTTCCAACAAATTCCTTCCCCTAAATTGATACTAGGTGATTTTAATGCACACCATACTGCCTGGGGCTGCCAATACACCTCACAGCGCGGACACATACTTAACAACATCATGGATGCGCATGACCTCATATGCCTCAACGACAAAACACCGACATATTACAGAATTGAAAATGGTATTAACAAACTTTCGGTCATAGATCTTGTTCTAGCATCCCCTGACATAAGTCTTCTCTTCTCGGCCCAAGTCCAAATCGATAAATATTTCAGCGATCACTACCCTCTTCACATAGTAGTAGAGTCCTCTTCAAGGAGTCAAAACGATTTCTTCCTTCCAAAATGGAACATGAGGAAGGCCGACTGGAACGGCTTTCAAGATTACATTGACAAATACATAGAGGAATATAACAACCACAACGTAAATATAAGTAATAATAACATTGATATACAAAATATTTTAGATATAATCAATGAAGCCGCAAATATTAACATACCACTTACCGGCCAAAGGCCCGGGTATAAACACGCTCCCTGGTGGAGTGACAGTTGTCAGAAT